CCCGCCACTCCCGCCATCTGCCCGCCAGCACATCACAAACCCACCATGTTCGCGACCCCCGCCCTCCGCTCAGCGGGCAGTGGAGGCTACCCGGGCTTCTTTCGTCGCAGCATGGAGGAACTTAGGCGCCAAGCTAAATTCGCTGTTAAGATGGAAGGTCTTCACATCCCGATTAAACCCTTCCCGCTCATCAAATTCGACGAGAACCTTTCACCCGAACGATGCAAAATCATGTGTGACTCCGATGTGGGAGGATTCTCTAAAGCTAGTCTATCATATGTTGATGGAGCGGCGCACATAGAAAGGACAGCCGGAGAAGGAAGTGACATGAAGAAGGGAGGTGTGATTGTGAGTGAGGATGGGAAAGAGCCGAGTCATGCGGTATTTCAGGGCAGCATAAGCACGGAACTACCACCGAATCGGCCACAGATCCAGAGAAGTGGATATGCCGGGTTCAGAACGAGAGATCGAGGCATGAGTCTGTTTGGCAAATTGCTATGGGACCTATCACCTTATTCGTATTTGGCACTGCGGATTAAGAGCGACGGAAGGAAGTATTTTGTCAACTTCCAGACAGAGAGTATTGTACCCACGGACTTGCATCAGCATCTGTTGCCGAGTCATAGCCCTGGGGAGTGGGAGACGGTCACGATTCCGTTCAGTGCATTTGTCAGGACGAATTATGGGCAGGTGGTGGAGCCGCAGAAGGAGATGATGAGCACGAAAGTGAGAAGCGTGGGAATCAGTCTCATCGACAGAGTGCCGGGCCCGTTCGAACTGAAGATTGCGGATATCTATGCGACTAATCGCCCACCGGAAAGGAAGGCTGGATTGGAAGAGACTGGGTTTGATTTGAGCATGGAGCCGGAAGAGGAGGAGTCTCGCGGTATGATGGACGAGATCGAGCCAAGAAAGAAGAAGGGCGAGCCAGAGAGGATTTTGATATGAGGTGGAGTAAGTGATGGAATGATAGTGCGACCTGAGATGTTGAGCTTGGGTCGTGCGACCAAAGCGGTACTTGAGGAGCTCGTGCAGCAAACTTACCCGGCGATGCTCAAATGCCCCACTTGGACCATTACTTCAACCTCAGCAGTCCACCAGTGCAGCTTGAGCGACACGGACGGGCGGAACTACTCGACTCGAAGTTTTGTAAGGACAACATTCGCCACGTCACGGGACCGTGCAGAAAGTGAATGGTGAATGGTGAATGGCATTTTGATAACCGAGCGTGTCGGCCCGTCAAAAGCATGATGGTTGCACCCATCTTGCCTACTATACTTTACGCACACGTCAACGCCCATCCAAGTACTAAACTTGCGGCTTCCACCACCTTTGCTCGACGGGCCGCAAGGCATCACAACATGGCGCAGCAAGTATCATTCCAAGATCTGGAGCGCGCGATGCAAACTCACAACCTCGAGGACTCTGAGATTGATCAACTCATGGCAATCGACATCTCGGTGGGCAGCTCTGATCAGGCAGCATCAGTCCCCGAACCCTCTGCGCCAGATCTCTTTTCCTGGAGCGCCGAAATCGACGAGTTCATGGCGGCCATCATCACCGTTTTCCAAAATCCCGAGTGTTGCAATCTCTCGGACCAAGCCGAATTCTGGACCGCTGTCCTAGCCTTCTTGAATCCAAACCACGAGGTCTTCCAGGCGCTGAATCCAGTTCGGGAGATCCAGAAAGTGTACAAGAGGTTGAGAGCGCCGGCCATGAGGAAGTATGGAAATATGGCGGATCTGCGGGGTCTTTTCACGAAGGGGAAGAAGCGGACGAGGGTTTTGAATCGGTGGAAGGAAGAGCATGCCGGTTCCGCTGAGAACAAGCTGGTACAGGGAAAGCATCAGCAAGGCGAGCGCGTGCAGCGGCAGAAGGCGTCGAGGAAGAAGCAGAGGAAGAGGGAGAAGAGAAAGATGTTTCATTTGCAGGGTTTAGGAGAGGCTTTGCCGAAGATCGAACCCAACGAGTAGGCTGCTCGAAGGAGTTTGCGAAAAGGAATGTTGTACAGAGGCTCGATGGGGTGGATGCCAAAGTATGACACAGGAAACAGTCGGCTGAATGGCATCTGAAATTTGCTTCCCATTCTTCTTTGCGTCGAAGCTAGCCTCGACAATCAAATCCATCCCCAACAATTCGGCGACATAGAGCACTCCCAGCGTAATCTGGTGGAGGAGAGACAGACAGCACGACAAGGCCCAAAGATGGGCGACATAACAATACTCGTACTCGAGGTCGAGTCTGCGGCCACCGCTGTCACTACCAACAATGACTGGGGAGACTCGATTTCCGTGCAGATCGATCACGTTTGGAACACTACCACCAACGTAAATGGAGGAGCACGTAGTCCCGACCCCACTCATAGTGCCCAAGACATCCCTCCAGTGCTCTTTGTCCACCCACACCAACCCTCATTAATCCATGGAGAAAACATGAGAAGTCCGGTTCTACCTTCGAAAGGAGAAGAGAAGCAAAGGATGGATAGAACGCCCGAATGGGCAGTACACGTGAACAGGTTTCTTTTACGCCACTCGTTGGCAGATCAAAGCTTACAAATGGGTATCATAATTATGGAAACAATGCTCATGACCAAACTGTTCCAGTTCTGTTCCAATTGTCGCATCGGATCAGCTTGTTCCCCCCTTAAAAGGACTTGCCTCCCCATCGCCATCTTCGTTCTTACTATTCGAGTGAACCCTTCCATTCTGCCAGTCACTGCACCAAATGAATGTAGCGCACCTCCACTGACTACCTGGCGTGCGATCCTTCTCTCCACTCGGTCCCAGTGGCCTCGCGCACATCCAGAAACTTCGTCCTTGATTGTAGCCTTTCTTTTTGGTGAGCATGCTTTTGCAAGGCTCATTGTGCCCCTCGCAGAGAGGTGCGACGGGTTTGCTGAACAAGGAAGACCAGGACTTCTGGGTACGCTCGGCGGAAGCAAGCTGTTGAGAGAATGAGCGAGGAGAAATCTCGTGGTCTGCGCTAGGGTCGGGAGGCTCGGTGGGCTCAGGGGTGGAGGGGTCTTTGGCAGGAGATGCAGTGTTCGAGGTCTTGTTGGACTGGGAGAGTTGAGTATGCAGAGCATTTGAGGCGGCTATAGCACGCTGGAGGTCAGGGTCATCGTCGCTGTCGGTATTATTGCTGGCTGGAGTGTCAGACTGCTTCTCTGGAGATGGGTCGTTAGGCTTGGGAGGCGGAATCTTCGATTGAAAGTATCCTTTTAAGCTCTGTTGACCTTTGGATGCTGCCATCTTCGCATCGGACTTCTGACGTTTGGTTGAAGGCTCTTTCGCGAGAGGGGCTGTCGGGGCTTTTCTCTTTACTGGAGATGCTGTGGAGGGTGGCAGCTGCTCTTGCGTTATATTTGACGCAGCTTGATCGTCGGTGCCATTCGTTACAGTCGTCAGACCTGAGTGTGGCGCTGGTTCTTCCTGCGACGATTGCAATTTCTCCAACGCTGGTGCTGCAAACATGCTCTTGATCGTGCGTCGCTTGTCGAACTCCGGCATGCGTTTGGCAGAGAAACCTGGCGTCAGTGCAAGCTTCCATTCTTGCTCCCGTTTCCCATGCTGAAAGACGCCGGGTGGGTTCATAATATCCACAAGATCAATGTCGCCTTCCTGCGTCTCGATTTTGTCGTGGAATACCACATACACGGGACAGTGGTCGCTGCCCAGCAAGCCTTCCTGTATATTGCCTTCTTTTATCCAGCCCTTCATTGCCTCAGCTACAAGTATGAAGTCAATCCTGCTGCCGTAGTTGCCAGGTCGCGCATTGATCTTTGTGTCCCAGTGTGTGTACATGCCTTTTCTATCAGGGTGAAAGGCTCTTGTCGTGTCCCATAATACTGCCGTCTCTCTTCCTTCATCTCTCTGGCCCAGCACTTCGCCTCCCAGCAAGAGCTGATTGAAGATGCGTCTATTCGGCCCAGACAGAAATTCTTCCCTCGTAGCCTGCTTCTTTCTGATCTCTTCCAACGTACATGCGCTGTCGTTTTCGTGTCTTGTGACATTCAAGTCTCCTACGAGGACGACGTTCTTTCCGCTCTTGATCAAATTCCGTATTCGATAGTCCAGAGCACACAGGAAACCATATCGGAACCCATCCCTCAGGCCGTTACTGTTGGCCGGGCTATATACGCCAAATAGCACGAATGCAGGAAACTCCAACACCACACATCGTCCTTCTGCATCAAGCCCGGCAGGATCCTCGCCTCCTAGCTCCCATAGTTCTGCATATTGCTCTGTATTCAGATAGCCTCCAATGGCCTCATTTTCTGGCAATTCTCGGTATGGTGTCCCATTACTGCTTGGCAGGACGCCCAGAACGCCCTCCTCTGCTCTAATAGGTGCACACGTCGCATTGCGGGTGTAGATGCCGACGCCTGAGTACCCCTTCTTGTGCTTCGGGAGGGAGAAGTAGCAGTCCCAGCCGTCTACCAGCACCATATCATCGCGCACATCGCGACGCTGGATCTTGAGCTCTTGCATGACCACAATGTCGGCCTCGAGGATATCAAACATGGCCGAATAGGAGCGATTGGTGTTCCATGGCGGGTAGGAGAAGGGGTTGCGGATGCCATTGACATTCCACGTAGTCAGCCGCATCGTGAGCGACGTCGCTCATCGTTGTCTGGCGATGGACGTATTAATGTCGCGTAAGGACCGGCGAGCCGCTGCGATGACGTGTGGCGCAGCTCGATGCGGAAAGCGAAGCCAAAGTCGCGACGCGTCCACGACGCGACGGCAGGTGATGGAGGCAGCAACGACATCAGCAGAAAGAAAAACACACGACGACAGCGAAGTGAATCGACTTGTTCAAAGCACACACTCGAAGTCGATTGGGGACATCATTCCCGCACAGCGTCTTCACTTCACCAACGCCAAGCCAAAGACCATGCTGGCCACACGGCGTGCGCAACAATGCCCCGCTACTTGACCCCTTCACGCATCGGACTGCTGGTCCTCATCCGCCTATACAAATCGGGGTACAACTTCGGCGCCAAAGATACCATCAACATCCTCGAATTCATCGCCAAGCACACTGTATACACCGCCGATCAGAGTGCCCAACTCGTCGATGAGAAGAAGGACTTCTTCGCTTCCGACATTTCCGTCTTCCAATTGCAATTAAAGCAATGGCAATCAGCCTCCCTCCCAGGACAGCCCGCCTGGAATATATTTGTGGCTGCCATCTGGAATCACTTGGATGGCCTTGATTCCTTGGGCCACCTCATCACCGAACTCAGACAAGGGAGCGTGCCAACAACAAACGCCGTCACAGATGTCAGGTACGATCTATCGATCCCTAATAGTTTTCTCTTATGGCTAATATGATGCAGCTACCAAAATCCAGTCACCCCAGCCAGTCCACTAGGCCAGTTCATTCGCCGCTGCTATGTCGAATTCACACGCTTGCAATTTGGCGACGTTCAAGCTCTGTGGAAGTCGTTTGAAGCATGGAGAGCTCCAAGCTGGGGCGACTTTGCGAGATTCTGGCCTGACCATGCTCAACAATTGGATGACTTGAAATTTGCCAACAACGAGGAAACAAATGCTGACTTCGCGGCTCGCCTCTCCCACTCCGACACTAGCCCCAGCGCTTCAGCAGCTATTGACGCTGACCTCCTCCTCACATATGCGATTCGCCAACTACAACAGTTCGGCACCAGAGTTCCCGACGATGTCAAGGCCAAGCTCACAACATGGGTCGATGAGCTGTCTGCAACCAGTGCCAGTACTCAGAGTATGCACTTCTTCATGGCCTTCTTCGAACATAGCAAAGCTGGCCAGTACACCATGGCATTGGAGAGTCTGCATCGCTACTTCGATTACAGTCTTGCAGCGAGGAGTAGCAGTGGAGCAGGGGACAACGTGAACTTGAGAGTCTACTACCAGTATGCACTACTTCACCTGAGTGTATTGCATGCTGAATTCGAGTGCTGGGATGAGAGCGTAGACGCCATGAATGAGTGCATTGCGACAGGTAGGCCTCTTCAAGTTTCTCTATGTAGAAGAGTAGGAGCTAACGAGCTACAGCACGAGAGAACCAGGACTCCGCGTGTCTGAATTTCGCCCTCTCATGGCTGCTATATCTTCGTCATGCCCATCCTGGCAAAGGTGTAGGAGCATATGCTTCTATCGCGGGCGTTGTCGGAGGAGGCGAGAATGATGAGATTGCCTTTCTCAAAACCAAAGCCCGAGACAGCAAAAACTGGCTGCTATTGAGTAGCACTCTCCTTGAGGAAGGCCGACTGGAGCTCTCAAATGGCGGCAACGCCAACAAAGCACAAGAGCATGCTCTCCAGGCGCTCTACCTCAGTGTTCAACACGATCTAAGATCGCTCGCTCCAGCTGCGTCCCTGTTCTACGGCTCGTGTCTCGATCGCTTAGGTATGCAAGCCACTTTCATCACTATGGCAAAGTAAATGCTGACATTAACAAGGTCAATCGCACCTGGGTAATCGACAGTACGAGCTCGGCAACACCGTACACCAGCCACACTGTCCAGTGAACGACCGCGTACGCTCGACCTGTCGCTCAGCATTACTCAAGGCCCACCATGGTCATTACTCAGAAGCTCTTGAGCAACTCGCCTCCATCTCCAGCACAGTCAGGGGAATTCTGAAGGCCGAAACACGATTGACAACCTTCTCAGCACTGATACATCTTCGGCAGTCGATTCACCGGTATGTCTTGAGGATTTGAACTGCATGACCCCTCTAACTTCCACCTGCTCCAGTGGAACCCACGAACCATCATCGTACTACCTCAATCAACTCCGACCCTTGCTCTCGTCCGCAGATCCCGAACTCTGCAACGAATTCTACACTCTCGAAATCGAATACCATGTCTCGCGAAGAGACTATCCCACTGCAATGGAGAAGGTGGCTTCCCATCTGGCCTCCAGTCGCTCTACATCTGCATCTGACAAACAACACGACAACTCCAACCTTGCCCATCGCCTCCATTATCTCGTCCAGAAGGCCCGAATCTTCGCTCTCGCAGGACGAGCGTCCAAAGGGTTTAGTCTTTGCCTTCGAGCCACAGCCACAGCCGAGCGCCACCTCCTTGTGCCCGTGATGCTAGAAGGGCTCTGTGTGCTGGGTAGGATTCTCATCGAGGTCTCGGAGGTTGCTGCCGCAAGGAGACTGTACGAAGCGAGTCTGCCGTTGGCGCTGGAGGGTGGGGATGCGGCGCTCGTGGCGAGGATGTGGGTTGCGTTGGGAGAGAGTTGCGTGGGATCAGCGGGGAGGTGTCAGGAGGGAAGGACGGCATCGGGCGGCATGGCGATGAGTGGAGAGAGGCTTGAGCGGTTGCATGATGGAGATATCAGTGAAGCAGAGCCTTCCGCTTCGGCAAAGACAGCGATTAAAAACGAGCAAAAACGATTGATGAGGAGGGCGGAGGAGTGTATCGAACGTGGAAGGGAAGTCTTTGAGGGACTGCAGGCTGTGGATTCGCAGATGGAATGTTTGGTTATGAAGATGAGGCTCGCGGAGTGGAGTGGCGATGAGACGGCACGAACATTGGCAGAAAAGATGTTTGACAGCCTAGCTCGGATGAGAGCGGAGTGGGATGAGACTGTGAGCCATTCGTGAGGCATGGCCTTGCTCTGTTGATCAGGCGGAACCATAAATATGACTCGGTTCGGCTGGCTGCTAGAGAGTGTACGAAGTCACGGGGAGCAGGATGAAGGGACTTTGAACAAGAATTGCCGTGTATTGGAGCAAAATGGCCTGGTCCCCTCATCTTGACCTTGAGACATCGAGCTCCAAGTGCTGCCTTTCTCCATTCGTCCTTTCCCTTTTCATTGCGTGAAACAAAGAAGTGCTTGGCATTTATCTGTGACATTTCACATCGGGTTCCATCACGATTGCATGGAGACAAATATTGTTGCGATTGGAATGAGGGCTGTTCAATGACCAAGCCGGCGCTTGGAACAGGCGTTGTTTAGTGATCGGAGCGGATGCTGACGTGCTTCACGTGGCCTGCAAATGGCTTGTTTGCGAACGAACATGAGTGCCAGTCTTGATGTCCGGCCTGATTGAGTCCCGCAGATATGAGTACTTTTTGATATGATGTTCGATCTCGGCCAGAAGTCCACACAGAAGATCACAGGATGGCAGAACGCAATGAGATTCACAGAGTGAGGTGGGAGAATGATCCTGACCTCAGCTTTCGGCAAAAGCATCGTTAAGTCCGAACGCTAGTTAGCCGTAGTAGCTCGAGCAACATCGCCTTCTCGCCGCATCGCACATAGGACTCACGCTTCTTGGGCAGCTGCTAACCATTCTCTGCACCTGTAGTGAACCGGGGCCGCGACCATGTCAACTTCAAGAGACGCCTTCTCGCCAGCAGAGTCGTGGGAGACGCAGTCGGAAGATGTGGATGACGACATGGATTACGAGGTAGATATACCGATTGCGATTGGGTGGCCAATGGACATATGAAGCCAAAATGGTCAAGTTGCACAACGCAGAAGACTGATATTCGTTCTAGCTTGCAAGTGACGAACCCACACCTTCAGCCGATGACGAGGACGATGTGGAGGGCGGCCAGACGATCTACTTCGATGCGGAGGAGGGTACCTTGCTAGATGAAGATGGTGAAGAGATCTCGTTCGCGGTAGACGAGGAAGAGGAAGGCGGTGACGATGGAGAGGAAGATGAGGATGCAGGTGAAGGAGCCGAGGGTTCACAAACACCGCAGCCAGCCCCAGCGAGACAGACACGCACGATCAATATGACACAGGCCCAGCTGTTACAATTACTGAGCCATGCTGGGCTACGTGGGATATTCCAGCACAGCGGCATCACGACAAGGTCACAAGGCGCGGGACGACACGTTATGCTCGATGATGATGACGAAGACGACGATGAGTACAGTCCATACGGCGCACGAAGACGAAGACCAGCTCGCAGAGCTGTAGTCGGCGACCGCTATCCACCTATTCCCTCGGAAGAAGGCGCAAAATTGATGCAAAGCGGTACATTCGGCAACAACGACCGCTGTCGGCATACATCTTGCGGCCTTCCTCTCAACCAAGACGTTCGTCGCCACAAACGCAAACTCGCCTATCGAATGCTGGATCGCGAACTTGGAGTCGAAAACCGCGGTCGCGCCAAGGTCCTCTCCAATCTTGCATCGCAAGACCTCATTCCGGGCTCGAAGGCGGACTTGATCATTAACTTGAATGCGCGCTGTTACTCCGGCCAGTTCTCTGAAGATGGAAGTTTCTTCTTTGCTTGCGGGCAGGATTTCAAGGTGCGCATGTATGACACTTCGAATCCGTATGACTGGAAGTACTACAAGACGGTACACTATTACGGAGGCCAGTGGACGATCACAGATGCCAGTTTGAGTCCAGACAACAAGCTGTTGGCGTATAGCAGTATTCGAAGTCAAATCTGCTTAGCCAGGACGGAGCAGGGAGATCAATCTGAGCCTCAGTTGCTGGACTTCTCAGATCTGGGGAGTGGTGCCGGAGGCCCTGGTTATGGGAGGCATCGTGGCCATTTCGGAATTTGGTCGCTGCGATTCAGTGGAGATGGCAGTGAAATTGTGGCAGGGACGTCGGATCAGTCAGTGTACGTCTACGATCTGGAAGCGCGCCGGAGCATCTTGCGAATACCTGGTCATCAGGACGACGTGAATGCGGTGTGCTTCGGTGACAAGATGAGTCCGCATATCTTGTACTCTGGGTCTGATGACACCACCCTGAAAGTCTGGGACCGGAGATCATTGGCAAGTATGAGACCGGCGGGTATGTTCTTGGGTCACACGGAAGGTATTACATATATCGACAGCAAAGGTGATGGGAGATATGTTATCTCGAACGGCAAGGATCAGACTTGTAAGCTGTGGGATCTGAGGAAGATGGTTTCGACGGACGTTGGCGAGCGAGTGAATCCACAGGTGAGCAGATTTGACGATTCCGACAAAACATGATGTGCAGCCTGCTGACTCCTACAGGACTACACAACCAACTTTGACTACCGCTTTTCACCTTACGACACTGACGACCACACACCGCACCCCTACGACTGCTCACTAGTAACATTCCGAGGTCATCGCGTGCTCAAGACTCTGATCCGCTGCCACTTCTCACCCGCCTCCTCGACTGACGGCCGCTACATCTACAGCGGCTCTCACGATGGCAAGATCTATGTCTGGAACCTCGACGGCACCACAGCCGGAACCATCAATGTCCTCGCCGCGACGAAGAACTCCCGGCCCGTCAGCGACGAACGATTCGTTGACCGATTCGATTACTACGGTCAAGGCGGCGTGTGGAAGACCATTGTACGCGACGCCAGTTGGCACCCTTCAGCACCCGTGATCGCGGCCACGAGTTGGAATGGGTGGGATCATGGCCTGGGAACATGTACTGTGCACTCGTGGAACGATGGGCAAGATACCGATGAGTGTGCTCCTGAGGATGAGACGGAGTTGCAGACTGGAGAGGCGTACGACAAGGCGGAGACTCTGGGAAACGCGCCGATGGGCAGTCGGGTCACGGCACAACTGGTGCATGATCAGAGGTACTATGGCAGTACGAATGGTTCGGCTAGGGAGGCGAGGAGGACTAGATTAAGGGATCGAATGGGACTAGGGGCATTGTTCGGTGGGGATGACGATGATTGAAGATCGGATTTGGAGGTCGCGGTATGATACGGCGTGAACATTTCGCGTGGGACTTTGTTCTTGGCTCTTTGCTTCCTTGAGAAGAGCTGAACGTGGACTGAGGCTATGATGCGCGATCGCAAGCACGGGAACATGGGAGCGGATTTTCAGTTTCCGCGTCACGATCCTTACGAAGTCAATGAGAGAAGAACATGCAGCAACATCATCTCGTTTCGCACTGTTCACTGCGCTCACGATGCTAGATTGATCGTGGCTCTGCTCCGCTCCTGCTCCTTCTGTGCATGCCTGGGACATGGTGCCTGAGGTGTTGCAAAGTCTAGCAGCGAAACGATGAGTGTAAACACTTACTTCCAATCATGTTGATTTCGCTGTATAGTATCACATATTGGACTGCTTCACGTCACATGGTCCAAGGTATGCCTCCCGTTGAATGAAAGCGCAGTTCCAGCCATGCCAGAAATCTGTGCCCGTCTTGCTGACATAGCTAAGTCGAGCTTCTGTTCTTCGTCAGACGATGTGCAGTCTAGGTGCACGACTAGATTGCATATATCATCCCGACCGCCCGGGAGAATAACATTTCGAGTTCTGCTTATCTCGGTCTCTGGCATTGTGGTTTGCGGTCCCATGAAGAGCAAGGCTGTATAGCTCCACTTCAGACCTGAGTCGCGATCGAAGGCTGGTCTGTTACCTCGCTTCTTGTCAGTGAGGATGTTCAGCCGAGGAGGGAGGTGCGAATATTTGACTGCTGTGAATAACTGGATAACGGCGTGTTATATCAGCGAATAAATGTATATGGTCACCATCGCTGGGGGCAACCGAGGCCATGAGCACGTGACATCATCACACAAGGCGTCATACAATATGAGGGGTCGTCAGCACAGTGAGGTGATTTGAATGTCTTTTTCGCTGTCCCATTTGTTACTGTTGCAGAAAAACTCCCGTGCTGCTACAGCAAAGGTAGGACTTCCTCGATGCACATGCCTGTCTAGGTCCTCGCCTTGAGACTCGCTGTGAGAACATGCGTCTCATCTTCGGATGCTTTCGCTTTTTGGCAACTCCAGATGAAAAAACAGGTAAGAAGAAACGCCTTTCCCACGTCCAACGGCAGCCATAGTCGTACGCATATCAAACAGGTGTATGTTCCAGGATGGTCGGAAAGGTTGATTCGGTGGAATGATGGTCTCTGGGTAGAACTCGGGCGCGGGCCGCTCTGCTTTTTGTGGTGTGTTTCTTGTTACTCGCTAAGTGTAGCTACAACTACACTCAGCCTGTCCCAAAAATGAGGTATCCTCGATGAGATTCATCCATCTCTCCTTCATCGCACAAATATTCGTTTTGCAGCCCCTCACTCGTCCTCATTCCATCGCGGTCATCATGGTCGGTGTAACGTATCGTCTACTTTCTCCGGAAAGAGCAGCCCTCGGTAAGACGGGCCTTGCCACCAGTTGGTTGGCAGAGGACCTGCGAGCAGCCGGCGCAGACAACGACGGTTTGTGCGTGCGAAAAGACGGTGGTGATGGTGAAGCAGCCAGGGCACTTGACGTCCATGAAGAATGAGCGTGGGCCTGGGACAAGAGTCTGAAGGGCGGGTTAGTGGCTGCGATGGTGCAGGCGCAGAGAGTGGTGATAATGTACCTTCAGCTTGTGCTTGCGGGCCTCAGCCTGAGGGGTTGGGTTCAGAAGATCGACTGCGAGAACCTGTGGGTGACCGTGTCAGCCTCCGCATGCTTCATTGTCCTATTTCCCTTCCATTGACAACGACCCAATGCATATCCACCTCTTTACGTGCCCGTTGCCGACCATTTCGGCTGTCGTGTGCTTCGAGCTCGGGTGCGTTCGCCACTCGTCCTCCACAGGTGTTCGACCTACCATGTTGGCGGTATTTGCGCGATAGTATTGTCCTTTGGTATCGGGATGATGCGTCCGCTTGGTGGTTCGTGTATTGGCGATGGACTGGTGTCGTGCGCAGCGATGTGCTTGTCAAGGGCGGTGCGGAGGCGATCTGAATTTGTGTGAGCGATGAAAATACGCTAGTGGTGTGCTTGGCACTTCTGCTCTCGGCACGTGACTCGCCACTTTCTACCACACACGCTTCGCACTTTCGAGTGGCGAATGAGTCAAGAACATTCTACAGTGAGTCTTAGACGCGGAGTCATTGACACCGGACTCTACGAGTGTATCATATTCTCGGGCATCCACGTATCGCAGAGGAAAGGGTAGCGTGTTCGCGGAACGAGGACAGACAGCTGCCAAGAGTGCAAGTGCATTCGCATGCAACTCGCCGAATGAGTGTGGTTGTGATTAAGTCTTGCAATCTAGCTATACTTTTGAATACTTCATCGCCATAGTGTGGCGGAATACAAGACAATCAATACCGAAAAGTTCCAAACTCACTGCAGGCCCTGATACCTGTCTGTCGTCTTCATGCCACTACCCGTATGCCCCGCGGCACATCCCCATCGCCATCGCTAAATGCTACAATCTGATGCGCGTTCAAATCAAAATGCTCGTGAGCCCAACGTGAGCCGGCCAATAGCAAGCGGTCGCTCTCGCAATGACCAATCGTCGCAAGTGTGACTGCGTGCGGCAAACGCTGGGCTCCATGCACTGTATTAGATCAAAGAGTATCCCATATGGAGAGGAAGATATGCTGTGGAGTCTAGAATCCTGCTTGCTAGGTTACCCTGAGGTGATAAGTCTTAGGTCGTAAGCCGTCGTCAACCGGTCGTGAGGGTAAGGAGCGTCGCAGGTCGGTCGGTGGTTTTGTTGGTGAAGAGATGAGAGCTAATGCACACTCCCGCCGTGGCCGTGTGACTCTCGTGACACCTGGTACGTACCCAGGTCCCAAGGCGCACGCACACGAGCGGAGAAGGCATCTTGGAAATTGGGACCAATACTGTCGACTTCCTTGTTCGTCGTTACACGGCTGACGGTCATCCGCTATTCTTGTGTCGCGAACTCTTGCTGCTGCTGCTGCTGCTTGCCGTGGCATATTCGCCTTCAGGATCCCATTGCTCGGGCTGGAAATCCGGATTCTGGAAGTGAGCCTGGTTGAATGGGGAGCTTTGGCAGAGGTTAGCGGGGTCAATCGCGTGGGATCTTGGTGTTACATACTTCCTGAAGATCGAGGTCTGGAACGGCATCTGCGATTGTGACACGAACTCGGAATCGAACTGCCACGCTGAAGGGCGGAATGGCCCACCACCAAAATCAGAGTGGTTGAACTGAGGAACGTTCCGTACCACCATGTCATGTGCGAGCTGAGAAGCTGGTGGAACCATCTGGACTGGTGGACTCGCTGATGCGAACATTGACTGAGATTGCATGTGCGGCTGAGGAGCCGGCGCAGATGGAGTGGGAACGGCTGGTGTGCAAGTGGTCACAGGAGCTTTGCTGTTGGTAGTGAAGTTGAAGTCCGAGGCCGAGTCGTAAGAGTCAAAGCTGGACGGCATGCCACAGAAGGGAGTCTGGTTGGCGTACGACATGCCAGGTAACAATGCCATGAAGTCCGAGCCATTGAAGGTGGCGGCCGGTTCGTAGTACGTCTGAGAGCCATATTGCAAATACGTGGGCACAGCAGCGGGTGATGGAGGCGGCACCGGGAGGTCTTCTTGCTTGTACAGTATATCATAGTGGCCACTGCAATAAGTCAGCAACTGCGCAGCTGCAAGGCAGAAAGGATGGGACATCACGCGACTCACGGTCTGTAAAGTAAGCGTACACTGCCGAGTATGAAGCCTCCGGACGCGACTGGGTCGAACCTGTGCATGGTAACTTCGCTGCCTTCGCTGCGGTCGAGATAGAGCACTTCGAGCAAGATGCCTGCTGGGGACAGGAGGACATCCTTGAGAGCGCTCAAGGCAACATTGTCGATCTCTGCCTTAACGGGAAGGACTTGATTCTGGCAATAGCTTTCGACAGTCTGCCCGAGCAACCAAGGAGCGTATTCCGTCTCCTTGCTCTTCATCCAGGCTGCCGTGAGAGACTACGAAGTGTAAGCGCAGGTATCGCTACCACGGCCGGCAGTCTTACCCTCATGTAGGTGATGATGTAGTTCTGCACCACGTCGTCGTTGAACTTGTCTACGAGCAGACCGCCAGCGTCCAGGCCTTCGGCCATTGCGTTGGCGAGCTCACGCAGCAGGTCGAACGCTTCGTCGGCGAAATCATCAATAACGGTGGGATTGAAGCCGGCTTGGGTCATGAGAGGAGCAATCGACTTGAGGCGAGCCTCCTCCATGCCAAAGCGGTTCAAGTCACCATGATGAATAAGTGCTTCATAGTAGCCAAATGCCACAGCTAGAAAAGACGGCTCCTTAGCACCAGTCCGTGTCGTGACTGCCATCTTTCGTCGAACATACCTCTCCATCCGCACTTGCCATCGCCTCGAACGGTGCGGTAGTGGGAGTACTTTTGCGGCAGCGACTAGCAGGACATGTCAGCATACACACATCATCGTCGTCGTTTTGACGCGTCGCGACGCGCGCTGCATATGTTGCATCGTACCTGCGTCTTCGCCTGGTATACAGGATCAGCCGAGGCGTATTCGCTGGTGATGGCTGTGCTTGGTTGTCGATGCCCGATCAAAGGCCCCTGTAGACGATCATCAGCACACACGGTCCATGCGTAGGGTGTTCTTCGCTTCTGTTGTCAACCAAGTCATGGCGCTGTCGAACGTGTCGCCCCGCGCCGCAACCCTAAATGACGCCAGAAGCGACGGACGGCGACGAAACATACGGAAACGGGCGGTTCGTAGCCCTCGCTGGCCTTCTGGAGCTGCGCAAGTTCGTCGTCGGAGATCTGGTGGCCGGCCTCGTACGCCATGGTGCGGCGCTGCTGCTGCTGCTGCTCCTGGCGGATCTGGTGCCGGGTGCGGTGCGGGAGAGTGGGTGGATGATGGTGTCGGAAGTTTGGGTAGCCCGCGCCCGAGGCCACTAACGAGAGCTGTGGTTGCGGATCTACGGACGCGGGAGCTGGGTGCTGCTGCTGTTGCTGGAGCAGGTGGTGGTGGTGATGGTGGTGTTGCTGCGGCGGAGCGAGGTGCTGCAACGACAGCTGCAGAGGGCGATACGCCAGCGATGGCTGGTCATGATAGTGCTGCGCGTGGTGCAGGTGGTGAGGGTGTTGGTGGGCATGGTACGCCGCGGTAGCGACGCTCCCTTGCCGCTCCATCGTTTCTCGCGCTGACGACGGAGGATCGCCGCGAACCTAATGCACGCTTTCGTCTCTGCCCGGGGCCAGAGCGGGGCGCGCGCGCTGGCAAGTGGACGCGCACAAACTTTCGCTCGTCTTTTTGATATCGACGCGAGTTGCTGTGCTGTCAAGTGGATGTCGATCCGTCGAGCTCGGTGTCGCCGTGGAATGAGGGAATGGAGCTCGTTATGCACTCTGGGCGCCGTCGACTTCTCCTGGCTGCGCGGCGGCAGAGGGTCGACTATTTCCAGCGCGGGCTCGCAGACGCTGGGTGAGAGCAGTTATCGCGCATCCACCAGCATGCACGTGTCCGCAGCGGCAGGCGTCGTTCCAGTTCCAGTCGTCTGATGAAGCGAAGCCAGATCACAGATAGGTAAGCAGCCCGGCCAGGCCAGATGGAACGAATGCGTAGAGAGAGCTCTGGCGAGCACCAAGGCAGACAGACGACCAGCGACCCAAGTTGTAGTGCACCACCGGACTGGAAGGCCTTGCTCGGAGGCTCGGACGGCGCTGCTGCGTGGGTGAATGCAACGAGACAAAGGGTGCTGCACTTCGTCCTCTTCCTTGCTGTAGAGTAACCTCGAGAATGGACCAGGGTGCCGGCAGAACCACAGCACAGAAGCGACACCACGGACGTTGCAGCAGCAGCAGATATACGTTCCCAGAAGATCGCAACTCGCGCCAGATGGCAGATCCACTTTGCCGCAACAGCCCACAGATGACCTACTTCGCGCGCCGCCACCACCGGACACAGGTGCTATCGATCATGCCAGGTACCAAATGCATATCCCGACTCGGGCAAGCAGCGACGATGCACTGACGCACTGCACTAAGCGTCCATTGCGAGACCCCAAGACACGGCACGATTAGATCAGATCATGCTCCTAGTCTCATCTCTGTGGAAATCGCCAGCCCCTAGGACATTCCGCCATCGAAGCGTAGAGCATCTGCGTGGATCACCTCCCGGGGACCGTGTAGTCAGATGCATCGTCCGAGCGCGCGCGCGAAAGCAAAGATCCACAGTTCACGGCGATGGACAGGCATTGAGGACGAGGCGATTGCGTTCCCGTTCCCTCCATACCCACCACCGTGTCTCCTCCAAATCGAAGTGCATAGCAGCGACCCTAGTCTCCCGACTCAGTGCAGCCAACGAACAGCTCGCGCTTGACACAGACCCGAACAGGACGTCAGCAAGCGAACGCGACTCTCGAAAGGCAAGACCGAGCTAGCAGGGGCTCCGCGTAGAGCATTGAGCAGCTGCGCCGGCAGGGGCAACGTAGAGGCGTGCCTCTGTGTGAGAGCACGGGAAGCTATCGTTTGGTGGTGGTTGCATCAGGTTGTTCCGGCGAACCAAGCTGTACCAACCAGTGCTCCGAGTCTCAGCTGCAGGCGTCGACGCCACAAGGGAGCATTGCGTTCTGTAACAGCCGATCATCAGAGTGAGATCAACGAGAGTGGGAACCTCTTGTCCTTCATGCGACACGAGCCTCTTTCGATGTGTTCCGGGAAGTGGGCTATGGGGCGCAGTGTCGCACACATAGCGAACACCGACACTGGGGGTCGAAGACGGCGACTTCTTTGTTTTCTATTGCATTCGAAAGGCATTCCCATCGAGTGCCACTTGTCGTGCAAATGAAACGCCTCATTGTCATCAACTGCTGTCCTGCGTGACAGTCCAGCTCTCTGTCAGCCTCGGCGTCCAACTGGAAGGAGCACATATCGCACGCGGGTGAGCGGAGACGATCAAACGTGAGAATCCAGCGATTGGCGATTAGCGAACGGGGAATCCTCTTTCTTCTTCATCGTCACAAAATCTCGTAGACTCGATCTAACAACGACAGTCGCACGCTAGCGCAAACTATGAAGGGCAATTCCACCCTACTGCACTCCTGTAGAATTACTCCGCTGCAGTCCAGAACATGCGAACAGTATCTCGTGCCGGAAAACAGTCTCGTCCAAAATGCGATCCATCACAAAATACACGAGACATCCAAGCATCCCACCCACATCCCGCATCCCCTCCCCTCTGCCTGCTGCGCTACACTACCAAAAGTACACTCCCTGTACTTCTGCAACTCGTGGCTTGCATATGTGTGGATTCCCTCTACCGTAACACCGGAACCCCCCAAGGTACTGGCGCCAGCAGCGTTAGCCTTCCTTCGCAAGCAGCAGCAAGCAGCCAGCCGACCACCAGCCTATGGCTGCGCAAACCTCAGTCCCAACAGCAAGGGATCACAACGGACACGCGCAGGAAAAGCAATTGAGGAACGCCAACCAAAGCATCTCGTGTGGTAGGGAGAGGGAACAGTCCACCCCTCTTTCCGCCGGGGCTCCACATCCGGACTTCTTCGGCGGCTGTTTGCTTCGTTGCGTGCAACATTCTGCCCAGCCCTGCGTGCAGGGAGCAAGTCGTAGCTTTCGTCTCTTCTTCTTTTCTTACCACATATCACTGTGGTGAGTGCGGCGGCAGCGGCTCCTCCCCGAATGCTGCTAGACGAAGCTACCACATGTGCATTATTACCCGCATACAGGAAGGAGAATAGGAGGGTTTATCCTTTTCCACTTGCATGCGTCCAACATTTTCTTACCACACCCACGTGCTGCGGCGAACCAAGAGCTAAGCGCGAAGAATGTCGCAATGTCGCAAGTCGACCGTTTTGTAATAAGTAGTGTCTCCGTTCCTACGGAGACAATCTACATGGATCAATTGACCCTTGCGCAACGAAGATCTTGGCTTTCGCCTTGCAGCACATCATGTCATGTTAGTTGACAGAATCAAATCAACCAACGACGGAAAAATTGAAAAACCAGATCGCAATGATAACGGCACGAGGACCGTGAGACTGAACTGATTGATGGATCGCATGCTAGTAGTCGCAGCAGCACAAAGTTGAACAGACCTCGCCTCGCGTGAAGTACTTTCCGCGCGGCCGGCTACAGTATCCGCGCCCATTAGCGTGCGAAATCTATGTATGTAAGCATGTACTCGGGTGCAGGCGACGCTTGCTTGCAAATCCGCAGATGCACAAGCGAGTCGAGATACTGCAGAGGTACTACTGTAGCCGAATCCACTGCGCTGGGACCGGCGCCCATCCTCCTGGTGCATCCCGAAACATACATAGATAGACTATGAGTGTATGTGTGCGGTGGCAGCAATTTACACCCTGGTCGCGGTTCTGTTTCCCTTCCCCCTTCGTATCGCATGCTGTTCTGTTTCGTAGGCGAAGCGCTGATGTTGCTGCTGAGATGACGGCTGACGGCTCTCCGGAAGGCGCCTTGTGCCGGGCATCGTACGAAACCGCCCTCTCAGGGTCGGCGTCGTGGCGTGCACAGAGGTCGCCGTCTCTTTTGCGCACCCATTCGGCGTCTTGAGAAATCGTTCTCACGCAAACGGGCTCGCCGACTGTTCAGTCTTTTCGCGGTGGCGCACGATCCGAGTGAGTGTCTCACTCGAATGTGTGTTCCCGTTCATTTCCCAGCACCAAATCGACCAGGTCTGCGCCGTGCGCCGTGCTGCCCGACTCGGTTCGACGATTGTGCCATCACGTCGAATACTTCCCCTCCACCGGGTCCCGCTTGGCCACCGAGTCCAGCATCTTCTGACTTGAAACCATCGCCCTCGTTGAGTACGACGCCGGCAAGCGAGCGAATGGCAGCGGTCCAATCCGCCATGGCGTTCATACGGTCCACGTCTGCGCGACTCTCGATCTCGACGGTCCCAGCTTCTTGGTTGATCTTACCACGCAGCTTCTTATCCATGATCAGGAATCCCACAATGTCCTGGACCTCGGGAATGGAAATTTTTAGTCGCTTGGCGATGAAATCGAGGCGGAACCGAGTATATGGCGCCACTAATTTGACCACCGCCTTGGTGCGCATGTTGCGAGTCACTTCGTCAATATTCTCGGCGATGAATGGATCCGCAAGGAGGTCCTTGTTCTTTGAAAGGACGGTCTCATATTGATGGATGTCGTCACGCTGGTATGCATCGACAAGCTCTGTCATGGCTGCGATGCGCGGGTCATTCTTATAGGGCTTTGTTTCCTGCGAGTCGAAGGGATTGATATCGGACCTCATCAGCATGGTCGTCAGCACGAGATACTTCAGCACTTGAATGCGCTGGAGCGAGCCAGCTTCATCGTAGTTTCGGAAGGACTCGAAGAAGTCACTCTGGGCATCCTTCCAATTCTCTGGAGTCACCGGTCAGCAGATGCGAACTAGCAGTCCCTTGCGTCCCTACCTTCACTCATGTGCATCTTGCCACCACATTCGCGGATGATGCCCATGATCTTCGGATGCGGCACGGCGGAGCGGACTCTAAGCGCGCGCTGGTAAAGCCCCTGCGAGACATGTGTGAGCTGATTGCTGGCGCTACGAGCGTGGACCATCTGTCATACCTTCAAGCGCTTGTTGTTCCTAGTCTCGGCATACATCTGAATCTCCAACGCGTAGGCCTCCATGCTGTACGTGCCTTTGCTCGGATCATCTGTGCCGTCCTCACGCTGGCATGCCTTGTGTAGCTCGCGGACTTTGTCGGTCAACCGTGCGTAGTCCTTCTGTGCCAACCAAAGGCGTGCAAGCTTGGTGTTTGTTGACAGCCATAACCGCTCGTTGTTGGTAGCCTGGAATGACTCTAGTGTTTTGGAGTAGAACTTCTCCATGCACTCATTGGCGGCTTCGTCCTCGGCATTCTTCTCAATGAAATCCAGCATGTTGTTGATGGACTTCTCGGAGTAGTTTCGCGTAACGGCAGATTTGACGTACGTCAACAGTTCCGTGTAGTGTTGCACCGCCTGATATTATCGATCAGCGTACTGTCCATGTCATATCCGAACATGTCCTGCTCACATCATCATATCGACCGAGCTTGAACTCCAGCTTTATCGCCTGCTTCAATCCCTTGAATCCCCAATCGCCCTTCTCTGGCTCTAATGCGGGAACACCTAGGAATTCTTGTATCGCCTCTTCCGGATTGTCGCCCTTCATCTGCTTTGCGTTGTAGTATTTGTTCTCGACATCGACATCACCATCGTCGCCATCCGCATCGTCGTCGTCTTCATACTCGAAATCGTAGCTGTCAACTATTAGCGGGTAGGCCAGTGAAGTGGTACCGTCGACCCGACGTACTTCTCCTCCTCCGAGTCCTGCATGAAGTCATCGTCGTCCGACATGGTGCGCGACAATGACTGAGTAATGAGGCTGATGTGTTGAGGGATATAATGATCAATCAGCCAAGCAGTTGTTGTACCTTCGCTGCGATGCGTTTGTGGTGATGATGAGGCTAAAGTACATGTGCAGGCAGGTCGACGACACGCGACCCCACGCGTCGGCCCGACGTAGATCCGCGATGCGAACAGCCACTTCTCTTTACTCACTCGCCACAGAGTTCACTGTCTGTCTGCACTCACAACAATTACTGCCTGCCGCCAACCTCTTACGACATCGCAACCATGGGTGGTGATCTGAACTTGAAGAAGTCATGGCATCCGGCGCTGATGACCAATCAGCGGCGGGTGTACAACGAAGAGCTCAAGGCGTTGGAAGAACGCAAGAAGACGGACCAAGTCCTGAAGGAGCGTGCCGAGGAGCGAGCGATCCAGGAACTCGAACGATTGCAAGAGGCCGCTGGCGGCAAAAAGCGCGTGGATCGTGTGGACTGGATGTACAATGGACCGGGCGCAGGAGGTCCCGGTGTTGGGGGTGTGACAGAGGAGATGGAGGGCTATCTGCTCGGGAAGCGACGACTCGATGGGTTGGTCAAGAGTGGCAATGATGCGATCAAGAATGATGCGCCTGAAGTTGGTGCGATTGCAGAGGGGAAGGGTGGCAGTGCGCGAGATATCGCCAGCAAGATTGCCAGCGATCCCATGCTCGCGATCAAAAAGCAGGAACAGGCCGCATATGAAGCCATGATGGCCGATCCGGTGCGGCGTAAAATGTTGATGAAGGCTGCTGGGAAGGAAGATGAGGACGAAGGCAGCAAAAGCAAAGAAAGGAGGCACAAACATCGAAGTCACAGGCATCGACACCGGGATGAGGACGATGATAGCCACAGGAGGAAACGGAGGAGACACAGCGACGAGTACGAGGACGAGCGCAGGTCGCACAGGCATCGATCGCATCGCCACAGGCGAGACGACTCGCGCTCAAAATCGCGGTCGAGATCGCCATATTCGAGGAAGAGGGATGACCGGGACAGACATGAGCGCAGATCTAAGTCGCACAGAGGACGAGACTACAGTGCTTCGCGATCACGTTCTCCGGCACGAAGGAGGAACGACGAAGACCGTAAGGACAGGCGTAGGTCATATCCCAGCCCACGTCGTTCTGGTTCCCGGTCGGACTCAAGGTCGCGCTCTCGCTCTCCATATCAGCGCTATGATCGCGAAGAACGACCTCGACGAGTCGAGCGTCGACGGCCTTCCCCGTCGTATTCTCGGCAGCGTAACGACAAGCCATATCGGTCGCCGCCAGAGGACCAGTCGAAAGATGAGGCTGATGAGGAAGCCGAGCGTGCGCGCAAACTCGCCGCAATGCAGTCGAATGCTACAGAACTCGAGTCTGAGCGCAAGACACGTCTGACAGAGCTGGAACAGAAGGAGGCCCGACAGCGCGAAGAAGATGATCGCAAGCGTTCTGAGCGAGGGAAGTTCATAAGCAACGTTCGACGTGATGCAGAAAATGTCGATCTGGGCAGAAGACTGGGCGGAGGTGGACGTAGCAATGGCGACGATTGAGGTTCGCTAGTTCATGCAGCATATGCAGATATTCTTCCAACCAGGCCTCTATTAGTTTTACGCCCACCATCAGCCTCTGTTCATACCGATTGCTTCCAGAACACGTTCCGTACAGAGTCGTGCTTGTGCTCCTCCTTGTTTCGGCTTCGCCTGTTCTGCAGGCGCAACGTTCAGCAGACTCCACCAATGGGAGGAGCTGGAGTGGGTTCTCCCCATGGGATCTTGGATCCAGATTCACGGCCCGCGTGGCCATGAACAAGAAGTGAGATGGCGAGTTCTTCGGGACATCGGGACGAGATGGCCCAGATGAGGAAGGTTGAGCTCTGGGAAGTCTATATAGCATGCGAGTGAGATGCCGCGGTCGGTGGTTCCGCCGTTTTGGCGGCTGAAACTGTACCCAACGGGACTGCTACTCATCACATACTCCGGTGGCTGATCTTTTTGATTCGTCTCACTCTTCTGCTTTTCTGTCAACTCGAGATTCATCTCATTCGAATTCCGTTCTTCCATCGTTCGTTGCGGTAGAGTGGAACAGCCAGGTGGTGTGGCGCTTTCGGAGTATTGACCTCGGCGCGACTGTCCACGGCCGGCTCATTGCGTCGTGGTGGGTGGAAAGTACAAGACGGGCGTGCTTGCATCTTGGTCCAGGTTGCTTGCTGGCTAGGCTGTGAGCTACGTACCTTCTCACTAAAAGGGCACTTCGACCAGCCAGAAATCCGGGTTCTTTGACAGCCAGCCAGCTCGCGTGTTGTACAGCGCATTGCAAGACGGCTTCTTTCGGCCAAGCTAGCCGCGCCTGGTTGTTGTACCGCATCACCATCCATTGCAACGAGAACATATACGTCCCCAACAACGACCAACCAACACATATCCTCGCGAGGACATCATCGACCGTCACCCGTCCGCTCGACGACATCATTCACACCGCGCGTTCGCCAACAAGCAGGGGCCCGCGCAACCGCTGTTTTGCGGCTTGAGCTGCAGCTCGAGGGAAGCCATTGCGAGATTGCGGCCGGCGCAAGCGTAGCGCGATTAGAGTCGTTGAGTCGTCCAGCGGATTCACCATCGGAAGCAAGAGAAGAGCCATTCGCATTTGTGGCAGAGGAAGAAAGAGGTGAAACTCCGCCCTGCGCGCAGCCGAGACATTTGCCATCACGATGCCATTGTGCGGCGGGACGAAGACGGTGCAGCGCAAGCTGGTATTGCTGTACGTGGAGAACAATCCCTCATGACAGACACGGAATGATGGCACGCGCATGGCGCACTCCTACGACGAGTATCCCAGAATAGATTGGCTGATTCTCTGCGCAGAGGCGACGGTGCTTGCGGAAAGACTTCATTGCTTAACGTGTTCACGAGGGGATATTTCCCAACAGTATAGTAGGTCTCTTCACCTCCTCTGCGCTCTGCGCGAGCTAACGCGCGCTCCTTCTTTCAGCGAACCCACCGTCTTCGAGAACTACGTCCACGACATCTTCATCGACAATGTCCACGTGGAACTCTCCTTATGGGATACCGCCGGGCAAGAAGAATTCGACCGACTCCGATCGCTCTCGTACGATGACACCCACGCCATCATGCTCTGCTTCAGCGTCGATTCGCCCGATTCATTAGAGAACGTGGAAAGCAAATGGGTAGGAGAAATTGCTGAGAACTGCCCCGGCGTAAGATTAGTGCTCGTTGCGCTCAAGTGCGATTTGCGAGAGGCGAAAGACGAGGATGATGACGGGGCAGCCCCAGCAAGAGAGGGAAAGAAGGAGTTGATCGATTATAAAGCCGGACTCGCGGTTGCGGAAAAGATCAAGGCGTTGAGATATCTTGGTGAGTTGGATAATTCAGACGGCAATGAGGTCGGCCGCTAACAAACCTGCACAGAATGCTCCGCCATGAAGAATCGAGGCGTTAACGAAGCCTTCACCGAGGCCGCACGCGTGGCATTACAAGTCAAGAATGTCAAGGGCGATAAGTCGTCTGCTGCGAGCTGCTCCATGATGTAAAGGAGACGGCCACGCCACAGCTTTCATGAAAGAGAGGGAAGGGCGAATCTTGTTTGTGTGTGTGCATACTAGCAGTTTTTCCGGTTTCGCTTTTTTGCTGTCCTCAAGTGGCTTTTCCTATTTATTGCTCTTTTTCGCGTTGTTTTGTCGAGAACCCGATATACCCCCTCGACTACTACGACGACGACAGCGATGCCCGCGATATATATACTACTACTAGTCAGCGCGAGAAGGAATATATCTGTCTATCTTGTGTTCATCGGCGGATCTCAAAATCATGAAGGCAGGGTGCGGATACATCGAGGAGGTTGTGCTGATGCCTCGCGATATACGGAGTTCAAGTCGCCTTTCTGATTTTCGGACATACACGGTGACTTCCGAGAGAACCTCGCAGAATAGGAGGTGTGTTCTTCGTTCGTCGACATTGTCAGTCCATGCGGTTGACTTGTTTGAACGGGGAGTTGGTATTCAGTGACTCAGTATGTTTGTAAGAATAGAAAACGAAAGAGTAACTTAAGAACTGGATTCGGTATATGCTTCAGTGGTGCGAGAACAATGCATGGCCAGGGCTTGCGCTACACTCGTGCGCTCCTCCCACTCTCGCATTCGCCGGGGAGCCCTCGTGGTGCACACATGTCCAATGTGATCAGATATTAGGTCAAAGCCGTCGAGGAGCGGCAGCATGGAAGCAATCATGTACGACGACACGCCAGTTTCATTCATCGATTAAGGAGCACTGTGTGCGGAAGCAAATGGAGCTCGAAGAGTCGTACAGGCATCGATGTGTCTGCATACATCAGAGTAAAGACAGGCAAACAAGAAGGGGAAGCGTGGTCGTAAGAAGAGCATGAGCATTCACCCAAAGACACTCATTGCATTTGTGGGGTTATCAATGTGCGCTTCAACACGCTATGAAAATCAACAGCAGCGGAGTATATTACCGATATTATGCGTGTGTAAAGCCAATTCTATCCTCGAAGCCCTCATGCTCCCATCTCCCCTTCCTCATCACATTCTGTCACCCAGGCCTCTTTTCTTGGTCCACCCAGCCCCGAGAGATCTTCGTGGTGACTTGCTCTAACAGACCATCTACAAGATGCTGCCAATGCCGCTGAGGAGGTTGAAGCCGCTGAAAGGTCCGTCGTTGCAGCTGGCCAAGTTGATCAAGCCGACGCACGTCTTGGGTTCGAAGCCACCGTCCCACAGCTCGTGGGAATCGGGGAAGCTGGTATAAGCGCCGATGTACCATCGCAGCGATGGAGGGCAATATTGACCTGGAATGAATTGAGGGTAAGGAGGAGGACCGGGTGGGCAACCACACCAGCAATCGCCAAGGGCCGCGGAGGCATGGTTGATCAAAGCGACATCAGCTTCGGAGAGCTTGTCTGCGGCGTGTTCCTTCATGTATGCATCGGTCGAATCAATCACTTGCTGCTTCGATGGGGCTTGTCCCGCGCGAGCGACAACGTCCTAAATGAGGCTGGTTAGTCGTGTCAGTGAACAAGTCCGAGCCGAGAAGCTACTCACGACTGGAGAGGCAACTACGCCAGCGACGGCGAAAGCCGCGATGGAAGCGACAATGTTCTTGAACTGCATTTTGATGTTTGGCTGAGTGATGCTTTGAACGAGAGGCTGGCTGAGTGTTGATGCTGATGAAGAAGGTTGAGCAGGCAGTCAGTCAGGCTTTTATATCCAGAAGCAAGCTTTCATCGGGAGCCCATCTTCGTATCGTTCCCTGCCTACCTGGCCAGCAACTTTGCTGGCCCTAATCGTGGCAGCACCCCATGGGCATGTAAGTCATTTCGCTTTACCCACCTTACGTGCATGGACGGCAAACAGACTCGGCGAGGCCCTGTGGTGGTAGGTCCGCGGCCGCCTTGCGGCTTGGAAAACTGCAGATCCGCGACTGGTGCTTCATCTAGACCGCGAGAAAGCTTCTGGCATACGGGATCCGCGGGTATCCGACGATGGTTTTCCGAATGTGCTCTTCTTGAGAGAAGGACAAGCTTTCCCAATCACAGTGCATGGCGCGCTTCCTATCCCTTCGCCTTTCTTGTCATCGTAATGCCTGCTACCAAACAGTCATCACTGTGAGAGCTTCTCCGAACAGTGTTGCGCTCAACCACAAGGAAGTCCTAAAGGGGGCGTCACCTTCCACGACGGGCAAATTCTACGAGAATCAATATTTCCATTCTTTCTCCCGTGAAGACAGAAGACCACGCAGGCATAGGGAGCGTATCGGGGGCCTGGTAAGCAAGGCTTCGAGCGAGGTCATATCTCAGCCAGAACCTTTTCTCGTGCCGGCTTGTCCGTTCAGTCCACTTGATGGAGCTTTTTCATTTCTTGTTTCTCGAAAATTGGACCTGTGCGCGAATGGCTGGCCACCGCTAGGCCTCAGCACGCGCATTCAGTCATACCGTGTGGACTATGGCTGGTGCTTCGCAGCTCTGTGCTCAAGGTGAAGTCGGTATTCACAAGCAGGGAGAAGCTGTCTAAGTTTTGCTTCGCATTGAAAACTTGAGCCCTGTACCTGGATGATAAGCGAGGAAATTACATTTCCAGTGCGCATGTGGCAATGTTCTCTCCGCAATCGCTGGTCATCCAAACCTTAGTGGATCATTTGAACCAGTCTCCCCAGACTGGTATGCGTGCAATTTTTGGCAGCCTTTCTGCCCTGGAAGAGGTTGAGAGGAAGTGTCCAGGGCTGTGATCGGTGAGCCAGCATGCCGATCGAGACCGTCGCGTAGCAACGGCATCTGAGTTTGAGAACACGCGGTGACCGCGTCACTTGCCCCTCTTGTTGAGCCAGTCTGGTGATGATTTTGCTGGATGGAAATAGAAGTACAGGTGGGGAGTAACATGGGAGGCAGTCGCATGAGTCGGGTGCCAAGATATTGTCTGAGTCATTCAAGTGCTTGGCCGTGCTTGTCAGACAGCTCACTCAGGAACATCGCTCTTTCCTGTCGCTGCGCGGAACACCTTCTCAGCTCAGCTCGCAGCCCAGATCTCGACTTCCTGCGAACTCCAGTCGTTCGCGACGTGATGACTCCCCATTCATCGAACACGTCAGACTTGATGACTGGCTGTCCAGAACCCAATGGTAAGATGAGAGCCGCCAACATCCTCTCCCTTGTCGCTGGACACCCTCCACGGTGCCCCAAAGCAGCAGCAACCTTCGCGGAGCGAACCACGCGAAGTCAAAACAACTCTTCCAACAAACGGGCATGTCCTTGCCCGCCATTTCCGCTCCCAGTAATTCATGGCCACAAACGCGACGGAGGCCAGCGCTCCATGGTGACCTTCCAGGCACAGCACAACAGCCTTCACTTCTCACTGCCACTAGTGGCGACATCGCGTCCGATATTTGCCAAGGCGTGCAGTCCACTTTTGTTGACCACGAGTTTGCCGTAGTAAGCTCAGCTCGTTCGCAGTGAAGCGGCGGTCAACTCCGATTACTGTTCTTCGACACCGCTGCACACAACAACTCGGAATTCACTCTCTTTTCACAATGATCTGCAACCTTTTAGGCAGCCGCATGCCACTTTGCTGCGGAGTTCGATCCAGTCACTTGTGAGACGGGAGGCGTGGCTTTACCCGCCTTCGGTGTTCGGAATCGCATCCTTCGAACGAAGGGCAAACAGGGCTATAAGTCTATCGGGACGTCTGCTGCTTGGGTTCTCGTATTCTTCGCTCCCTGGCATGTCGCTTCGTTCACCAGACTTTTTCTTGCAAGGGCTTGTTTCGCATTTTGACAGCAGGAACCCTCTTTACCCCCCAATTCGCATCAGGCGTGCGCGATAACGAGGCATCAAGGCTGCAAAGAGAGAAGAGACGGAGACTTTGTGAACAGTTGAAGCTGTAGCATTCGCATCGAAGAGATGGGGTATTGTCTACAAGCCATAAGTGAGAGTCATCTGGAAAGCCTCTCCCTCATCATGACATCGTCATTCGTCTGATATGATTAATACACGAAGCGCTCATATGCAACATCAGTCAATCATGAGTGACCTGACTAGCAAGCGTCGTTCGGACACGCAATGTTCGTGCCGTATGGGTCTGGTCCGGCAATGCCTGCGACTTGGAAGATGGCGTTGATGACACCTCCGATACCCTCGCCAGCAATGAGACCGGCAGCGATTGCGTACCCGTAAATGTCGAAGCTCTGTGGGTTGCGCTTCGCCCAGTAGTAGCATGGCAAAGCTCCGATAATCATGGCCAAACCGTAGTAGGTTTGTGGCAGGCTGTGAATGCTGTTAGCAATTGCTCATACGCAGCACAAGAGCTGAGAAAACTTACACAAATGCAAGACCAATGCACATCATGTTGGGGTGGTAGACACGGTACTTCTCCCAAGTTCCGCGGTAGGCGTAATGACGGATGATAATCATGACGGCACCAAAGATGGAGAAGATGATGGCAAAGATACCACTGCTGGTTGGCACTGGGAATTCTGGATCGGTCATGGCCACAGCGACAGCCCTCCAAGCGGAGACGGATGGAGCACTGAATGGACAGGTCTCAGCGTTGATGTCCAGAATGCAAGGGTATGCCTTCGCGAAGAGCATGAAGAGGGCTGGGGCCAAAAAGACTGCAACAATCGTGCCCAGACCTTGGGCGACCCATTGCTGCTTAGGCGAAGTCTTGAGCAGGAACCCAACACGGAAGTCGCCGACAAGATCGGATGCTTGATTGGCACCAATGGAAGCAAGGGAGCCACCGAGAAGGTTGAGTCGCTGAGCGTGCTCGACTTCCCAGCCCTCGCCTTTGGTAGCCCCACCGAGGACGATTTGCGAAGCCTTCGATGCTGCGGTCAATGGGGTGATGTCGGTCACACCAGTGCACTGGACCGCCAGCAGAGAGAAGAAGAATGCGAGGAAGATCGACAGCAATGACATGCCAACAGGCATGTCGAATTGCACGCCCGTGACCACGCAAGTGAGGATGATGACAATGATGAGGGCGGGGAGCCACATCCACCACTTGACCAGCTCGCTGTCCTCCGCAAAGTCCTTGACGAGATCGTCCTGCTTTTGAGCACCCTTGCGCTCCAGAGACGCGCTAGAACCGCGACCGAGAGCAATGCGTGCATTGTTGATACCAGAGCAGGTTCCGCGGTAAATTGCTTTGGAGACGTGGTAGAAGACCTTGTACTGCAGACCGAGCTCGACGAATGAGACGACGATCATGAGTAAGACACCAGGCCAGAGCAGCCAGAAACGAGGGGATGGAGTATCTTTGGTCGATGCTGCTGTGCCCAGCGAAGCGAACGAGACATAACCCTCCCATTTGGATCCCTCCTCAGCGGCTGGTAGACCGAACGCAACGTTGTAGTGAACGAGAGTTGGTCCGATGATACCCCAGGCGATGATCGAACCAGCATAGAAGGAGATGGCGGTATTCAGACCGACCAGCATCCCAGCGCCAATGAAGGCTGGAGTCCACTCGATCATCCAGCCCCAGTTCTCGACATTGATGGCAGCGTTGTTGTAGTTGCCCCAGATGAAGAACCAGGTGAAGATGTGCCAATCCCAGAGGATACCAATGCAATATTGGGACACCACGCGCAACACAACGGCGACGGAGAATGCGATGGAAAGAGCTCGCATCTTCATCTTGGCAATGGCTTCACCAGTCGCGGCCATGTGCATAGCTCGGATCGTCATGGCGGTAGCAGATGGAGTTGGGAAAATCAGTCGCAGTTCTCTGGCCACGTAGATGATAAAGAACTTCCGGAGAGGAGTCGACATGAGGAATCCAAAGTAGCCACCGACCAGAGTCAAGGTGATCAGGCGTGGGAAGTCCTCCCTTGGGGTCGACAGCAGATCAAGTTGATAAAGAGCTGGGATACCAGAGATGAACACACTGCTCAAACCACCTGCGGCTGTCGCAGCGGTCTGGACAATGTTGTTCTCGCGAGGACCAAATTCACCACCCAAGATTGGGATATTCTCTCCCAGCTTGCGCCCAAGAGGCCTGCACCTGTTAGCATTTTCTCGAATGTGACGAGATTGTGGAAACGACATACTTGAGCACAGCGAAACCAATGATGGCGCCGAACAGAGACGCGCCGAAAGTCCATCCTGTCTTCAATCCGAGGTAGACATTGGAGGCGTTCACGAGAGCACCGCAAACAACACCCACGAGGATAGCGCGGATGGTGACGATGTAGTGTCGCTCTTCCGGAAGGTCGTCGAAGGGCGTGAATGGATCAGCCTCGGGCGCTTCTTGACCCGGCTTCTCGAAGTCGACCTCTTCCATCTCGCCCACGTAAGTGTGGCCCACTTTGTCGAGATCCTTCTCATTGCCAGTCTCTGACGACGGCGAGGGGACTTCCTGAGCCTCGCCATGTGTGTTGGTGTTGAAGACATTGCGCTTCTCGGTAAGAGGTGGCACGTCTGGGTTGATGTTGCCCTACTCATGCGTCAGTTGCTGTCGCGCGAAGCAGAGTAGAAGGAGCAGCACGTACCATTGGCATGACCGTGTGGTCAATGACCTCGTTGACGTTCGCCATGGTGGATGGTGTTCGTGTCTTTGCACCCAGACACGACTGTGATACGATTCACGCGAAACGGTGGCCGTCGAGGTGGGGGAACAAGATGATTTAATAACAGCGTGGTACATGCAACGACACGCTACTCACTCCAGGGCCCTGGACGGTCGCCTCGCATGGTCGCATTGAGCATCGGTCGTGTGTAATTGAAGCATATCAGCGCCGACCAGTCAGAGGGCGTGTGTGTCTGGCCTAGCTGCGAAGGCACGGTCCTGCCAATTTGGGCCTGGTCCGGGGTGGGCGGTGGCGCCAGGATCAGCATCCGGGTCGACTTGTGCTTCTGTGGACAGCCGGCCGGCTCACTAACTGACGCCTCCCACCAGCGGCACCACCACCGAGGGCGCTGTGCCGCCGTCTTGTCCAGACCAAGCTTCCATATCAACGCGCCTTGACACAGCCTGCGCATTGGAGCCGATATTGTGCAGGCCCTCGACTGCAAGTATCACCCGAGGTGATAAGGTCGCGAGACTCGACGAATGAGACCACCGATATTGTAGTGGCGCGCCCGCTAACGTGTTTGATAAGCGAGTGAGCCAGATAGGCATGTGAGCCAAGCCAAAATCGATCGATTTTCGGACGTGCGGCACGACAACGCAAGCAGGTAAGATTTCTAGAGAAGTACTTTAGGAAGCAAATTAGGTACGCATAAGCAGAATCCGAAGTTGAAAGTTTCCCCTGCCTTCTGGTACTTCGTCTACGATAACTTTTAATAGTCCCACTACTTTTAAAGTAGCGATTTCCTATCCTATATATTATAGCGCCTCTAAACTTCGAAATATTATAGAGCCTCTAGAGCAGAAGGTATCTACGTATTCGCAAGTCGATAGCGCCTAGGGGTGTCGAGATTTGCATTTTCGCAGAATCTCAAATCACGTGGTATTTCGGCTGGCTCACATGCCTATCTGGCTCACTCGCTTATCAAACACGTTAGCTGGATACCGACGATCGCACTCGTGAAGGGACCTCGCCCGCCCGACTCAATTCGACTGCACGCCCGCTTGCCAAGGCGCGATGGCTGCCGCCAGCGCGAGCAAGACATCGCCAACCGCAAAGAAGCAGTTCCTGGGCAGCGGAACTCGTCGAATCAAGCACAATCAGGGCAGACAGGGTTGCCCTTGGCCATCGGCTGTCAGATTTTCGAGACTCATCATTTGTTGACCTTCCCATCACCAGAACAATGTCGAAGCGAAAACGCAGATTGCTTCACCACCTCGTTGGCGAGCTCTCAACAGCGTCAAGATGGAAGCCATGTGCCGGCCAAGAGAATCCTCCCAGATAGCAACATTTCCTCCTCTATCGATACCATCGACACAGTCGTGATCTGGCACATGTCAAGCTCCTAGGCCGGGAGAGGAAGCTGAAGCCTCGGATCACTCGAACGCACGGCGAGGGCTTGTGTTGGTCGTGGCAGAAAGAGGAAGGTTGGCGCTTTCACCGTGTCTCGCGATTCCCGAAGGGCCTTCTGGGCGGTCTTGGCATACTACGCTATCTGAACTCTGCCATTCCTCCTCCTCAGGTGCGCCATGCTTTGAGAAGCATATGCGAAGCTGCTTGCAATCCTGATACGGCGGCAGCAGTATGTCGCGATCGATGCATGCGCTTACCAGCGGCAAGACTGCGTGATACTGAGTTGCTGTTGCTATCGGCATACGGCGTGCACGAGGCAGGCACGCGAGCAAGTTTATCCGCCACGTTGCAACCGAGACATCGGCCACTTCCGATCGTATCCTGTACCATGATTGTGCTGCTCTACAAATCTGCCGCTTCAACCAGCTTGGCTCTCCGCGGGAACACGATGCAACACGAGAGCTCTCCGCGAAATCCGACCTGCCACACAATCACGCTATTTACGCCGCACAGTCGCGCTGCCCCAGATTGCGCAGGACTCAAAGCCAGCTTTTCTGCAGCTACGCCACGTCTCCGACTGTTCATCTCCCGCATGACCTTCAAATCGCTGTGGCAAAGCGTTGGAATTGATCCTTCGAAGAACTCTATGATTTGCACGTCTGCCAATGAAAACGAACCGACAAGTTGCTGATCGCAGCAGCACATGAAGATCTCGCTGAGCCCGTGAACTCCACCACATCCTGGTCCGCCTGCCCAAACGATACGCAACCTGCTGCACACTTTTTATCGACATGCTTGATATGCGCAAAGGCAGGTCGCAGTAAGTGGCTGCTATGAACGGTCACGCCATGGTGTCGTCAGAAAGACCCTTTGGCTGGCGTGGAGATGCCAGGGAAGCTTCGGCCTTCTCCAGAAAGGCTTGCACACCTTCTGTGCTGCATGCGCTTGGCCGCAGACCCTGGAGGTGCCACTCGCTCACTACTCGATCTTCAGTAGTCTGCTCGATTCACTACTGCTTGTCGTCCTTCCAATACTGATCTCGTCTGATGGAGAATCACCAGGTCACGCAACTTTGTGAATCGGCTCTAACAGCGAAGGGCAACAGCCTGGGCTCGTCCAGCGATACATCCGAGAAGGAGCCAGCCTCAACAGCCTCGACAGTCTTCTTATATGTGCCCTTCATGGCTTTTGCCGTTACGGTAAGCAAGCGCTACCTGCTGATAGAGCCATCTCAGGTGCCACATCCGAATGCATTTTGGCACATCACGATTGACGAGATGAGTCCGGGTCCCGAATTTGAACAGCTCCTGTTCTGCTGGACACTTCGATCTGGTTCTCCCGCTCATCCAGCTTTTGCCTATTGACAGACTCTTCGCGACTGCACGTGCAGTCTTTCAGCATCAGAAATCTATGTCAGCTTTCTACCTGGATCGTGAGCTGGTGAGAACCATCGTGCAACATGGCTGTGTCCTCGATATGCTGATCTCCTACTGGTGGCTGATCTTCCAGCTCACTATCCTCGCCGCACAGTGCACTCCGTCCGATGACCTTTCTCACACTACTGAATGCGGCGCTTCCTCTCTTCACATGGCACTGGGATCCGAAAACGAATTGACTCAACAGCAGGCCTTGCGAACCCATATCAACACGATGTCAGCACATACCAATGGCCATCAAAGCGAACATACGCGCATATACGCGCCTCAACACGTTCTAGCACATGCCATTACTGCTCGCCATCCACGACAGTACCGCGTAGACACTCACAGGCAAGATCCGCACTACAATTGTCAGAGCTAACAATAAAACTTGCTAAATCAGCGAACGCACAGTAATACCGACGCTGGACGCGATCCTGGGGTATTTTTGTTGCACGCTGACTGAATTGCTGTGGCGCTACTGACAACTCCGCTTCTCTGGTCGACGATTGTGTCAGCACTGCAACCTTTCCTTCGTTACTCGATTGTGGACGGCAACGTCTTCACCGACCTCTACATCGAATTAGCATGTGCACATGTCGCTATTGAAAATTTCACGCTCTGACGAGCACGCATCGTACAACTCTCACCTTGATCTGAGTATGAATGGACTTGCATCTCATTCCGCCGAAACCTCTAAGCGCACAAAAACAGTGACAAGCATCACAGGCCTTTGTGAGGATCACACGGACGGATTGGCATACTCGCACCTATCATCTCCGCCAGCGGAAGCGGCGGTGTCCATTCTCAAAAGCTTTGGTGCAAAGGACTATGTTATTGTTGTCCAATGTACGAAAGCAAACTACAATCGCTCATCACTAGCATCCGTTCGCACTCGTGTTTGGAAGGTAACGTCACATAGAGCAAGTTATAAGGCTACACTGTCGGCTAAAGTGTTTGGTGGAGAAACGCTGATCTCTTTAAACTTCGAGCACATGGAGGAACATCTGTCCGGGGCACCTCACAGTCTCATACTTCAAATTCAACAAAAAGACCAGCCGAGCATTCGTTGTACATTGCTCCAGGACCCCACAAACGCCTCGTCACGATAACCACAAGTAATGCATACATGAGCGTGACCATTATCACAACAGCGATCGCGTACTATTGCTTCAAGACATCTCTCCGGAAACGCTCAAAATAATGGCCGTGTTCAGAGGCGTCACCGCGGCCTTCACCACTTTCACGATTGTTCAAGCCGCTTCGCAAAATGCCATAGGATCAGCAGGCTACTCTACCATCGACACACCAGGTTTCACGCTGGAGCTTGACGTTGCGAACCAAGTGGCTACCAAACTGACTGCCAAATCTGGTTCGAATGCTGGCAATGCGCCCTTCAACTTCCTGCTCTCGACCGCGAACAGGACCGATGATGGGTACTATGTATGCTTTGACCTCTATCTGCGATGTCAGTGATCACTCTGACTAACTGTATCACAGGCTCTGGGCGACATACAGATTCGCATGAGACCCGAGAACAGCGACAGCTGGATTGACGTTGCTTCTCATTTTGCTCGACAACCCATCAATAACAGTACCGACTCTGCAAATGGTTCACTGTCCAGTGCTGACATTACGGCCTCTCTGGGAGACAATTTGCCAATCACTGTTGTGCGATCCTGGAGTGCGGACCAGGACTCCGTAATTTTGTCTTTCACAATCAGCAACACCGGCAATGACACTCTTCAAATGGGTGGCGTTGGCATTCCCACACCCTATAACAACAACTGGATCGGCAAAAATCAGGAACAAACTTGGACCGAGAGCGTAGTCAGTGATCCTGCATTGTCGTTGGATGCTGGATACGTGGTCACCAACCGCCTGACTGGTGAAGGACCAAGCTTGATCACTACTCCGGTTGGAAAATGTGAGTTTGTGTTGGCGAATCTTGAAAGCGTGCGCTAATATGAGTAGCTCCTCTGGAGCAGTACCGTCTCGACTATGTTTCCGAACCGAATTACCCGGAGCAGTGGCTCGATAAGACTGTAAGGATACTTCTCACTGGGCTGCGTTCATGCGACTGACTTGATGTAGAACCTGGACTACAACTATGAAGGTGTCTTCTCCTGGTGGGTTGCCACATCGGGCTTGACGGAGCTTGATACAGCCGCGGCCAACAGTTTGGGCTTCACTCGCGGAAGTGATTTCAATGTGCCAACGGAGTTCTCTCTACGCCCATCCGAGTCTCGAACCATTGGGTTGAGGTTTCATACGAGTGCTGGACCTAGCAGTGTTGAGGATCGACTTCGAGCATTCGACAGGCCGACCATCGTCGGCGTCCCAGGATTTGTTGCATCTTCTGGCGAGCCAGTCAAGATGGTCATTCGAAGCTCATCTGCGCCCACGATCAGTGACGTATCTCCCGCCAATATTGCTTTCGAGGCGGTTCAGAATGTTGGTGAGGGCGTCTACGCGATTTCTGGAACAGCCCAAGCTGGAACTTTCGGTCAGACTCGAGTGACTATCGGCTTCGCCAATGGCGAGGTAGCTACAGCACACTACAGCATCATCAACCCAGAGACGACTCAAATGGATAATCTTGGTGCATTCCGCTTCTCTAAACAATGGTTCTCGAACGAGAGTGACTACTTCGGCAGAGGGCCTGGCATCATCACTTACGATAACAAGAAACAACAGCAGGTGGTCGATGATAGTCGTGCCTGGATTGCCGGCCTCAGCGACGAGGCTGGTACAGGAGCATACGTTTCGGCTACAGCCAAGCAGCTCAGCAGACCCAACAGAGCTGAAATCGCCATGCTCGAAGAATTCGCCACAACTACGCTCTGGAATCGCATACAGATCTCCGCACCCGGAGACACCTACGGCGGAGTCAAAAAGAGTCTCTTCTACTACGACGCCGCCCTCGAAGGCCGTGGCCTCTACCTCCCCGGCGTAGACCACAGTGGAACTTGGCCCAAAACTGAAGCCGACCTCCTCTCCCGCTCCTACAACTACCCACATCCTTGCGTCGTCTACTACACCCTCTACCGCCTTGCACGCAACACCGAGAACCTCACCTCAGTCCCCTGGACCTGGGCCCTCGATCGCGCGTACGACACCATAATGAGCATGCAACGCAACGCCGGTGTCACTGCCTACGCCCAATTCGGCCTCATGGAAGGCAGCTACTTCCTTGAAATCCTCCGCGCTCACAAAGCCGAAGGCGCAACGAATAGCACCCTTTCTTCTCGCGCCACCGATATCGAGAATTTCATGCGTCAACGAACAGATATCTGGCAGAGTGAACCTTACCCATATGCATCCGAGTTCCCTTGGGACAACACCGGACAAGAAGAAGTTTACATCTGGTCTGCTTACTTTGGATTCAACGATACTGCTACTGCAACTATTGGAACTCTTCTCGCAGTCATGGCTTCTGTCCCTCATTGGGGCTACTCCGGTTCTGGTCGGTCACTCTGGGACTTCCAGTTCTCCGGTGCTCCTGGCCCTGGGAGCTCGTTTGGACCGTATGCTGCATCATTATAAAGGCGCGCAATCTGCTTATGCATTGATTGAAGAATTTCAACGACATCCAAATGATGTGTGGATGCTGAGGGCTGCTTGGGGTGGAATTGTAGGACCCTTGACGACAATCGGGCAAGATGGATTTGGTGCTACGGGATTTCATTCTAGACCGGATTATTTGGCTTGGGATCCTTATAGTGGTGATAATGGTGTCACGATGGCTATGCATGCTTTGAGTACGAGGGCGGTGATTGTGCAGGATGATTCGCTTGGGGGTTGGGCTGGATTTGGAGCGAGAGTGAGTCAGGAGGGGAATGTTGTTGTGATCGAGCCTACGGATTCTGCGAGGCAGAAGGTCTTCATTGCGGACTCTGCTTTGTCGTTGGAGCTGGATGCCGGTCACTTTGCGGCTGTGAGGTATGATTTGGGAAGCCGAAGTGTTGAGGTTGAGTTTGAGGCCAATGGAGAGGGTTTCACGCCGAATGCGAGGTTGAAGTGGAAGACGACTGCTCAGACGACGAACTCCGGAAACTACCAGATTGTGGATGGTCAGTATGAAGAGGAGAGGGGTGCGACAGTTGTGCCACTGAGCGGCGATGGCACGACGAAAGTGACGCTTCGCCAGCAGTGAGCTTGATCGGAAAGGATCTCGAAATGTCCTCTTTGAGAGCAGAGAGGAATGCTTCTCTTCTATTTCGTAAATAGCACGTCTGCCACTCTCAGTCAAAATAGCTCGAATATGCATTCAATGCCGGCTGCCCGCCCAAATGCACATATAGCACATTCGAGCCCTCCTTGATCGTGCCTTCCTTAATCAGCTGGATCATACCGGCCATACTCTTTCCTTCGTACACCGGATCTGTGATCAAAGCATCCGTCCTCGCAGCAACCTTCATCGCTTCGATCGTGCTCGGGCCGGGAATGCCATAGATTCCTTCATGGAACCTCTCATCCAGAATGACAGCCTCATCTGGGATCTCCAGCTTCTCGTCCAAAAGCTTCGCAGTATTTCTCGCAATTCTGGTGACTTGGGCTTTAGTCTCAGCTGGTTTGCCACTCGCGTCGATTCCGATGACCTTTCTCCCGCGACCCTCTGCGACGGCACCGACAATGAGACCTGCGTGGGAGGAACCTGTCACAGAGCAGACGACTAAAGTGTCGAAGAAGGGGAGTCCGAGAGTCTTTTCTTGCTCTGCCAACTCAACGACAAAGTTCGTGAAACCCAAGCCTCCCAGTTCGTGATCACTTGCTCCTGCCGGGATGTAGTAAGGCTTGCCGCCATTCTTCTCAATCTCGGCGAAAGCTTCCTGCGTGGCAGTTTTGTGGCCGATGTGAAAGCCTTCGTTGTTCAATCTCACATCTCCGCCCATCAGTCTAGAGAGGAGAATGTTTCCTGTCTTGTCGTAAAGTGGAGGATCGATTGGAACCCATTTCTCCTGGACAGTGACGGCTTTCAGACCTGAAGCTGTGGCAACAGCAGTCACGGCACGAGTGTGATTGGATTGCACTCCGCCAACGGAGACGAGATGTGTGCTATTCTTGGACAATGCATCTGCGACGAGATATTCGAGTTTTCGGACTTTGTTTCCGCCATAAGCGAGACCAGAGTTGCAGTCGTCGCGTTTGGCATAGATCTGGACTTTGGAGCCCAGAGATTCTGTGAGGCGGGGTAGGTGCTGGATTGGAGAGGGTCCGAAGAGGAATGTAGCCTTGGGAATAGACTTGAGCTTTTGCAAGTAAGCTGCTTCTTCTGCCATTTTGTGATTCGTGAAGGCCTGACGTCGCTGTTCCTCTACCTTGGTTGTGCTGTGGAGAGGTAAGTGATCGGACATCTAATGATGGTGCAACGTTTGACTACTTTGAACTCCAGTAAAGCCACTGTGTTCACCCCGAGCATCGGAGCTCCAAGGTGAGGTGGAGTCGGCAAGACTTCGGCACGCATTTGAGGCGTGAAGCACGCCGGAAGCTGGCCTATCGATGACTTATCGGCTGGCTTGCCTATCCTTCACAACTACAGCTGATAGTTCATTGCGGACGGCATGGATAGGCCAACGAAAGACTGCCATGATACTTGAGAGTAGCGAGTTGCATGTAGTCATCAGTGCAGCCGATTTGGCTGTCCCCAGGGCTGTGAGCTCTCCCGTTTCCTTCCTCTGCAAATGTTCTTTTACAGTACAGCACCAAACCGATGTTGTAAGTCATGCTGCGAGGACGCCACATGAGCTCTCCGCAAACCAGATTGTCTTCCATGCGGATATGAAGCTGGGGGAGTAAGACTGCAATGCAATACCGTTAGTCCGTGCACGAGCAAGAAGTGCATCTCGGAAGGCAACGAGAAGCTTGATGTGTGCTTGTTTCTGTATCTCTATTGGTTGTCGCAATAAAAGAGAAGTGGAGACGAGTTTAAAGCCCGCTGGAAGTAATTGCTATGATAGATTCGAGCCCATGTAGGTAAAGAGCCCAGCCTCATCAGCGAGCTCTGTTTGGAGCCGACAGCAGCAATTCAGTCTTCAGTGCTGCCACGCGAGCAGCTACTTGTTCTTGCCCATCCTTGTGGGCTATTGAGGAAGCTTTTGACAGGAACAGGCAGAGCACTCGTTCACTGGCGGGAAGGGCATCCCGAATCTCCTTTGGGTCGCCCTTGGGCGAATCGAGGAAGTATTTATCCAGAAAAGTTAGAGCCTCTGTCGCTGCCGGGGTGGTAGGATGGTTTAAAGACAAAGCTGCGAGGCTGAAGTGAGTTGCAATGGGCTTAGTCGATTCGTCGAAGCTGACGAGGCGTGCTATTCTGCTCACAGCAAGATCCCAGAGCTGAGGACTTGTTCGTGAGTAGTCACCGGTGATAAATCGCGCTTTGAGGGTCATGAGGGCAGGCGCCAGTGAGATTCTTGCGACAGCCGGAAAGGGCTTATCGGGCGCTAAGCGCTGCTCGTCATAAAACCGTCTTTTTGCGTCTTCAGCGAACTTCTCCAGCCGTAAATAGCTTTTGATGGCACTGACGGCAGATCGGGGCGACATCATGCATGAGATGAGCCTGAATAATAGCTTTGAGCAGGTAAGTGCGCCACATTACGTCCGGATATGCGCCGTACAAGGGATCGTCGTATGCCCAGGCTAACGATTCCTCAGGAAGTGGTCTCATCCAAAATTGGTCGATGAGACCTTCAGCCTTCTCGGCAAGCAATAAGTAGCATAGCTGCATGGCTGCTTTGCGGTCGTTGGCCATCAAGGGCAGCCACAATATAGTGTCATTCCAAATATAGTGCAGCACGCTTCGTGCAAGTTGCTTCCTCTCCTTTCGGAAGACTGCAGGTCGGGCACGGCGTGGAAGTTTCGTGATGCGGGTCATTTCGGCGTCAAGACAAGCTCGAATCGTCTCTAGTGACACAGTATTGGTTGCGATTGATGATTCGAGACAGCTAGCAGCGTCCAGTCGTCCAGAGGTGATAGCTTCGTGGAGCGTTCGTGCCGCTGACGACCAGTCCCCAAAAGCAGTATGGCGAATGGAGTTCCAGATAGCCGTGGATTCCTTAGGAGACCGGCGCAGTACATTTTGCGGAGGCTGCTGGCCTACCCACGCAATCCTAGGTCTTTGAGCGCGTTCGATGTTGGAATGGAGCTTGCTGTTTGTGGACGAGGCCCGACTCCCAACGGCACCGCGGAGGCAGCTTGGAGAACAGGCATATCTACGCGACGGAGTCAGCCAGCAATGAACTCGCAGTCCATGGTGCAGCATGCCGATGGTCGTCGCTGTGATGGCAACACCACGCGCTGGCTCATGATGGGAAGTCAGAAACGTTCGCGTTCCGACACGCGGAAGTGGAACAAGGCAGGCGGCCGAGAAGGCGCAGCGTAACGTGACATGCCCACGGCAATCAGTGACCCATAATTGACTGCGTATATGCTCACTGTGACGCGATATTGTACCGAGCGAGCATTGAAGGCCATGTCGTGCAACGGAGGGAGGAATCTCGACACGGATCCGCGCCAAGAAGTCGGCAAAAAACCACGCGAGTGATGTCCCATGCCTCGAATTTCAGCGCGTTCCTCCACGTTATGGTAGTTGGACATTGCTAGAACAGCAGTCATGATCAAGAACAGCTGGGTACTCTGCGACAGAAGTCGCAACGATATTGTCATTCCTAGATTTGGAATAGGCCGCAGCATGTAGAACCTCATTTCCACCGCTCCACCGCGTCGTTGGTACTTGTCTGCGGCAGCATCGCTGACGATACAACGTCGATTACCTCTAATGTAGGCAACGAGGAACTCCTTTTACTGCTCAGTCATCCCACGTGACTTGTGTCTCCATACAACTCAATCCTCAGTGCGTCTTGCCTCTTCACAGGAAGATCGAATCGTAGGGGCTCGCGACCCTCGGCACTCTCTCGAATTTGACATAGACATCATCTGACCACAGACCCTCGTACTGGCCTGGCAGATCAATGAATTCCCGCACAAGGTCAGGGACGTCTGACTGATCTAAGCCCTCGAATTCGTCGAGGTATTCGTCGCTGAAAGCACCAGGCGTGATTTCTGAACCAAGGAGATCCAGTCTTTGAAGGTTGGGATTGCGTTGAATGAAGGCCTGCAACTGTGACAAGACCAAGTATGCTCCGCCAGTTAAAGAAAAGTGTCTGACTCCCGGCATTGTTGTCTCGAATACGAAGCTCTCGAATTCGCCGCCCCAGCCCCTCTTGCATTCGGACTTTGAAGGTTTCCAGAGTCTTCGCACTAGAAATTATGCTCAAGAAGTCGCGGGCGCCTTGCTCATAGTCGCTCTCATCCCGGAGTGCAGCCACGTGAACATCGAGGTGTCGCATGTGTTGCAACGCGTCCAGGAAAAGTGCGCGACTTGGCGCCAGTATTGACTGATTGCTCATCTGCAGCATCCACGTTTCTGCTTTGATAGCCATGCTCAATGTTTCGACTCCAGCCTCGCGGACTGCCGACAAAACCTGCGTCCAGGGCGCGTCCCAACCGGTCCAGTGGGTGGTGAAATGTGTCTTACTGTGACAGCTTGTGCAATTCGGGGACGCGAAACAGATCCAGCTCATTCCCTTGGCTTTTTGATCAATGAGTTCGAGCTGTAGCTCAATGCGGCGTGATAAGAAGGATCGAAACAGTCGAGTGAGCTCAGCAATACGTGATAACATCGTAGACGCGCTCTGACATGAAGCGCACCCAGGGTAGGCAACCACATCGTCCACGATGATCACGAGTTGTCGAAGGTGACGTCCAAAGACGGGATGCTCAGCCGCCCTGGCCGCTGTTTGGATGCTGTCCAGCTTAAAGAGCAGTAACGAGCGAGAAGTGAAATGTGCTTGACCGTATGTGCTAAGCACTTTAGCGGCAAAGTCTCGACAGGTAAGACGCAGTGCACGTAGTGTTGCGGTATCGGAGTGCTCGGCGATAAGTTCGAAGAGCTCTGGAGGAAGTTCGTTGAAAGGTGATGTGCCTGGCGCGCCGACCATCTTACAGTCTGGTTTGTGCGGAGCGACATTTAGACCTTCCATCATATTGACCTGTTGGGCCGCGCGAGGTTGTCGCGAAAGCTTGCGTTGTCAGAGTCGACGGTGGGACTGAATGAGAGTACTGAGATCCAGGTTTGCCTTGTGAGTCAGGAGTGGCTTTCGGAAAGATGCCGGCTGCCGAACGAACAGAATTGAGCATCACAGATCTCGCGACAAACGGATGGTTCGCATGAGATCATTCCTTCACTTGAAAGTGGCTATGGGCGCGGGACCTACACTGAAGTCAGCGGATCCGAATACGGAATACGCAGCAAGTTGTTCCATTCGACAAAATGATCCTCGACAATCGGCAGTACGCTGAAGCTTACTGTTTTGTGCCATTGCTCACGTATCTTGTGCGCGGTAGTAGAAAGCATCTCCCCCACTTCATATTGCTGCTCGTGCTCTCGATCGAAGATTTCTCGTGATGTGAGTGCCCATCCTCTGGCTTATTGAATCATAACCATCCCCACCCAACTTCCAACTGCTTCCACAGTTGATCTCACACCTCGCATAAGTGCAACATCATCCGACCACAGATCATCGTAGTCGCCGGGCACAATCATCAACTGCCGTACCGGACCATGAATGTCTTCCGCATCTATGATGTGAAATTCGCCGAGGAGGTCGTCGCTGAAGCTGCCACGCATGAAATCGACCCGAGTCAGATCTACTTTTCGCAGCGTAGGATTGAGATCGACGAATTGCTGCAGATCAGACATAAGTACGCACGTTGCAACCAAGTGGAATTCTTTGAGTTGGGACATTGGACGATGGAGAAGTCGCTTGTCGAAAACTTGACGTGAACCATCCAAAGCTTCTTGCAAATGTAACTTGAGTCTCTCAAGCTTCGGCGCGGAGCATAGCGCATTGTGGAGTGCGCTTGTAGCCTCGTAATCGGACCTTAGGCCACAAGGACGATAGTGCAGCTCGAATTGGCGCAAGTGCTGCAAGACAAATTCAAAATCTTTGGCCCGGGGCCCACAAAAGAATGTATGATAGAGGGAGACGGCCCAGATATCCGTTCGAATGGCTAGGCGTGAGATCTTGAGGTTGCTATCGCGAGCTGCGCCCAACATGGTTCCCAGCTGAAAATTCCCAAGCCCCATCGGAGAATCCAATCGTACTCGTGAGCATCCAGATCGGTACGCATCGAGTGTCGAATACTTCCCGGGTGGAAGGTGTGCACTCTCCAAGAATGTGAGTTCCACCGGCTTGCCGTGCTTACTCATGTGCCAGAGGAGTAGCTCAAGGTCTTCTTTACGAGCCGCCTTCGAGTATGGCTTCCTTCCTGCATCGCAGATACTACAGGCTGCCGAAAGCGGGTGACCTATTGTACGATGTCCCTCAGGATATGCCTCGTCCACGATGATCGTGAGCTTGCGAAGGTATCGTCCAAAGGCCTCGTGCTCTGCAGCTCCCACCGCGTTCAGAATGCTTTGCTTGTCGCAGAACATAATAGTCCTGGAGGCGAAGTGGGCTTCGCTGTACGTACGCAAAACTTTGGCTGCGATGCTCCGGCAAGTCAAGCGTAGTGATCGCAGGCCTGCATCGTCGACATACTCAGCAATGCGTTCTACCAATTCTGGCGCAAGATCAGTGAGGGCGATTGTGCTGACCATGGTGGCTGCCGGCTGATGAGAATCGTCGAAAGCAGTCCTTGGAACCTCTGCCATCGATGTTTGGTTCCATAGAGATGTGGAATGCTGTTAAGAGCCTCGACTGGATGGCTGAGTAGTCAGGGGAGTTGGCGAGTTAGAAACGGAGGAGGTCTACGTGAGCAGGCCAGTTGAACAAACGTGGAAGGAATTGGCTGCTGCTGTTTGCTAGAAGTGAGCAATAGGCGACAGTCATAATTGTCCTGTGACAGCTCAAATGTCAAATGAGATTGGCCACTCACTTGTGAGAAGCTAGCAGTCCCAATGAAGCTCGTGATTCTGTATCTGGGAAGATGACGCTGCGCGCAACGGCGATAGTTGACGGCCATGCCGAAGTTGAAACTGCTCTTCTACCGCCTTCGAGCGGGCAGAACGCGACGCCACATCATTGATTTGAACATGCCTTCGCAGCCTGGATTCCACGTCTCGATGTCGCTCAGTTCTGTTCGAATGTTCTCATGCTCTTGCAGTTTGCTTCTTTTGTAGGTCTGCACTCGTGCCCTCAATGTACAAATATGTTACACTGCATCCGCATCCTTGCGTTGCTCACCAGCTCGCCTTCTTCACACCAGGTATCCTTCCTGCCAGCGCGTTCATTCGGAATTGGTACTGCGACACAAAAGATCAGTCAAAGTCCCGTTCCAAGCCCCCGCGCCTACAGCGGTCTCTACTCACCCGCGCCATCCTGAAGTCCTGGAAGACACCCCTTCCTTTCCCTCCCATCGTACACCGATTTTTGATCTGCGTGGGCCGTGTATAACAGTGCATCTGCGTCAATTGTAGCTGTGCCTGCGCTCGCGTTCGTTGCGGTAATGAGGTATTTCGGATGATGTATCGCAGCGCTTGTCGTTCGGGCTCGTTCTGCTCGAAGACTTTGCGTTTGGTGTGATCGCGGATGACTTTGTTGTTGATGAAGCAGGAGAGGTCCAGCCTAGCCGGTCGGAAGGGCGCGAACTTGGTCATTGTGGCGATAGCGACGGCAATGGGAACAGTGACGGCGATGGTGGTGTTGAAGGTCGGCGAGGCGGAGGAGTAGGAGACTCGGCTCTGCGTCCCGAAATCCGAAAGCGAAGTCGTTAGGGTTTGGCTCGCGATCGGCGCTTGCGACGTCAATTCAGTTGGCGATCTTGGACAGGAATACCAACTTGCTTTTTGAAACTCTCTTCAGTACGCACGCGGCATAGTCTCCTTCTACATTAGGGCAATAATCAATCATGGGTGCCGTCTTTGGTGCCGCAGACATCGAAAAGCTAGTTGCCAACTTTCCTCCTCTTTCAATTTCAGCGAATGGTCGTCCTGCCGTCGTTCGCAGCTTTTCCAGAAACAGTCTCAAGAATACTGCAGAGGTCCTCTCATATTTCAAGACATTGGTTGAGCGCCATGACCAGAGAATACAAAGATCGAGTCTGAATTCTGTTCTTGGCATCGAAGAGAACAGCGATGGCATCCTCCTCGATACGTTGGACTCGCAGCTCTACTACAGTGCTGATGGTCGATATATCATACCACACCCTCTTATTGAGAATATTGCCGCGGTTCTCAAGGAGCGAGCGCTCCGGTTAGCAGTCGATCTTCACGCTTTTGCTCGGGAGCAGGACATTCGCTACGACAGCTTGGAACGAATGATAGAAGAATACTCTGGGAAGGACTGGCCTCGTGTGATTATCGATGTAGATAACACCTCGTTCCTCTGCAGCTATGTTTACTCCGAGAGTGTCAAGACTCAAATACACAATGCCACTTCCGACGCTGGCACAGACATCTGCAACATAAGCTCCATCATTGGGCCAGACATACCTGCACCCGTCGTGGCCGCTCTCGCAACGGAAATCGCAGAAAGCAAAGGTGGCGAAGTCAAATTTTCTGGAGAGCATGTGGTTTATATACCAAAAGGGCACATTGCAGCTGCTACAACTCAGGACGAAGAAGTTAGAACCGCTCAGGTGGGCAGTCTTGTCGTTAAACTCGAGCACGATGGCTTTTGCGTGCTTCGAGAGTCACCAGCAGAGTTTGTGAACGAGCTCAACGGAGATGTGGCTTTGGATGATGCTGTGATAGCTGAGTTTGCGAGAAAGAACCCAAATAGTCTCCGTCCGCTTGCAGTCGATGTCAGGCCTGAAGCTGAGGTGGTAGCTCGCGCGAGCAGGCTCTTAAAGGATACAAAGCTAATAGTCAGGCCCGAGACACTCCGCGATGAACTGGACATAATCAAGATGGCTGTCGGTACAAGAGCAGGGATCCTCTGGAGAACCGGTCCCAATGCAGCAATGCCTGCGAATGTCGTGCGAGACTTGCAGCACTCTGATTTTGGTACACAGCACAAAGAAGAGCTTGCAGACTTGCTGATACGCAGTCCATACGCGAAGGAACTCGAAGCTACAGCTTTGAATTGTTTGTCCGAGCTCGAAGCGGAAAGGCATGAACAGTTCGTGGAGCTGGTCGGCAGTAGACTCTGGTATCCACTACACTGCTATGCGGCTGGTGTCATGGAAGTACAGGATCCCACACTGAAACAGCATCTCGAAGACTTCATCACAGTACAAATGAAGTCGGATGCAGTACCTGCGACGATCAGTGCTGCGCGAGATCAAGGCTTTCTCAACGACAGACCGCGCAAGAAAGAAACCGATAAGCTGCAGAAGTCGATAGAAGAGGGCAAAATACTTCCAGACGTTCAGAAGGCAATCGCGAAATTTGCGAAGAAGCTGAACATTCCAGCACCCAGCGAGTCGCACGTGTTCACGACCAAGTCTCGCGCACTTTCACAAACGCTGAAGTCCATGGACAGGATGCACCGCGGGTCGGATGTCTTGCAGAACCTGATCTGGGTTCTGCTCGCAACAAGTGGACCGGGACTGTTTATGAGCTCGGGCAAAGACACGAGTAGAATGATCAAACACTATGATTCCGTCTGCGATGACCCTGAAGTTGCAGGTCTGCTTGCCATCTGGAGAGATAAGCTGAAAAGCGGCACTGAAGACCCTGAAGACATTCGGCAAATGAAGGAGCTAGCGAAGGCTGCAGTGGAGGAGTGGACAGAGGAGGAGCGTCGCAGGCCGTATGTCGGCACGTGAAGTGGCACAATTGTTGCAATAAGCTTGCTGATCTTCACAATGCTTCGTGGGTGTGCCGAAAATAAGCTCTGTATTGTTGCGAGCAATCCGAGCCAGCTTACTTCGGGTGACGCTCAATCAACAATCGGATCGCGCCCCATGGCCATCTGCAATTGCTATTGTCGGCACAGGCGCTTGTGGTTCTATCTGAGCAGAGCTATTGTCGGCGGCACCAATATCAGAAGTGGGTCCACCTCCTCGCCCACTTTGCTATTGTGCGCTATTGTCCTATTCACCTCACCTCCGAGTAGCTACTCACTATTGTCACCTGGAACACGCTAAGAAATCAAGCACTATATCTTGCCTTCGAGTCGCCTCCAACTCTTCTTCCAGTTTTCTCTGCACTTGCATTCCGACTTTCGCACCAGCTCTTCTTCCAGCTTTCGCCGCCCTTCGATCACTGCTTCTGCACCAGCTTGTCTCTACCCTTCGATCACTGCTTCTGCACCAGCTCTTCTACAGCTCCGATCACGACATCTGCGCGAGTGCTAGTCAAAGCTGCTTCCGATCCGATCACGACATCTGCGCGAGTGCTACTCCAGACTTCTTTCACTTCACTCACAGCCTTTGCACGAGCTATCATCCGATCCTGTACTTCACTTCGATCACAGCCTTTGCACTCCCTCGAACCTTCTGGACTTTGTCGCATCGATCATCACCCTTCTCCGACCGAACAGAACTCGCCATGTCTCCAGAACACGACAACGACCTCTTCGGCGACGAGATCGACTACGAGAAGTACTGGCGTGACCTATACCACCAATCACGACGATCGTTTGAAGACCTGATCTCTTTCTCCGACGGCTGGATCCATCGACTGTGCGCAGAAAACGACAATCTGCAAAGACAACTTCTTCAAGCACAAAAGGAGATCGCCGCACTCAAGAAGACGAGCACACCGCAACAGACAGCATCGGCAGAGACGACACCACCGCGCGAGACGAACGAGCAGAGAGCCACCGAGAGCCCTGACGACCAACCATCTGCAGGCGACAAATGCAATGGCGATACACCTCCCGCTCCTCAAACACCACTCCAGCCGCCCAAGCCGCCCCAAGCCAACACGAATCCCTTCGGCAGAAAACCCGGCTCGGACAACTGGGCGGAGACATTCAAGGAGGCGGGATGTGAGAAGCGCAAACGCGACGACGCTCCACCAGAGGAGGGCGGCGCTCCCTCGCCAAAGCGCTCTGCTGCCTCCGCCACTCCGCCCAGCTCACCACCACCTCGCAGCACCCGCTCTGGCGCCTTCGACGCGTCCAAATTTTTCGACAAAGACGCCGACACCAGAAGAGNAGAAAGCGCGAGCCGAAGATGGCCGCGCCTGGCGCGAGAAGCGAGACCGCCGCCACCGCCAGCAGTCCTTTCCGCCGCCACCACCTCCTCCACGCCAGCAGACCTCCCGCCCCTCCCCAACGGCCGCAAATTCGCCATTGAGAGGTGGCCCGCCCGCTTTCTCCCGGCTGGGCATCTTCACCACACAAGCCCTCGCCTGGCACGAGACCGTCTCCTCCTCCCTCTCCCAGAGAGACAACTTCCCGGCCCCGCCCGCCTTCCCTCGCTCCGCCTTCGGCCTCACGACGTTGTACACACCCAACGAGGGGCTCGTTTGCTCCAATGCGGGCTGCAAAGCCAACAAGAGCGCGGCGGGCGAGGGCGTATGTGAGTGCAGCATACGCAAGGCGGTCTCAATTTCGCTGGGTCGGGAGGTCTCAGAGAAAAAGGCGGCTTTGAAGGCACTGCGGGTGGCGGTGCACCCAGATCGGTGGGTGGGCAGAGGCGAGGAGATGGCGAGAGAGGTGTTTGTGGTGGTGGACGGCATGTACGAGGGGGCGAGGTGAGGGGCGTTGGTTGGTTGTCTGTGGTGTTGTTTCTGGCGTTTTGGTTGCTTTCGGGGTGGTAGATGGGAGGATGGGGCGAGAAAGCAGCTGGTCTGCAGGCAAGAGATGAGAGTGTTTAGATTGTTTTCTCTGGCGTAAAGCTGATTTCTGAGGCAAGTGGTAGCGAAAAGCCGTGTCGTTCAGACCAAAAATGCAAATGGAGAAAGAAACTGTTGATTGTAAATGCTACTGTCGTGATGTTTCTCAACCCCTCGAAGGTCTCTTTGCTTCCTTCTCAGCATCTCTTGGACTCTCCTCCCCAGCTGGAGCGTTCTTCTGTACATCATCTAAAGGCTTATCAATGACCTTCACCTCATGTAGTCTGCCGTTGACGTCCCGATACGCCAGCCTGGTCGCAGTAGTCTGGCTAGGTGGCTCATGTCTCAACTCAATACTCTCCAAGGAGGTGGGACTCGTTCCAGGGCTTCCCTTCTCCTTCATAGCCGTCGCAGCATTAGGATCCGAAGCATCCAGAGCCACCACCGGAGATTCCTCGAAGGAACCAGGCTGTCGCATTTTCAGCATCTCCTCTCCGGACATGGGCTTTTCCGGATCAATCTCGTGGGGCCGGATTGGTGCCCTGGATCCGTTAGACGAAGCGAGACTGGACATGGGCTTGCCTGACAACCTCGCCCAGATGCGCTGGAGGAGGCCTGCCATGGCGGGCATGCAGGTACAGACGACGCTGAAGTTGCATTCGACGGACGACCAGATGACAGCGTTGTTGTAGTCCCAGCTCGGATTGCGTGAGACACCAATCTTGACAAGATACTGCAGACGGACCTGTCTTTGCTGTTAGCTGTGTCAGTGCGGCGAGATGTGTGTAACATACGATGCTGCAGATCGTGACGAGCAAGCCGACCATGAATATCAGCAAGACCCCAGTCTTTCTACGCCAGGAGATGTTGAGCTTCAGGAAGTTGTGAAGTGGTAAAATGAAGACTACCACGTCATAGCAAATGTTTATGGCGCCGAGCGCGTACAGCTCGGCCGACCTGTTGATGCAATATCCGTCGTGCAGTCCATCCCAGAAGGTCCAGCCAAAAGATACTGGCCCACAGCTGAAAATCTCAGCGAAAACAAATGCCACTATGGTGACGACATGAACGGCGATGAGGAACCAGCAGACTCTGCGGAACCAGATCGATGTGGCATCCTCGGTCCAGATGCGGAGGTACAGTTGCAAGATTGAGACCTTGGTAACCATCACGAGGATCGTGTAAATTATCGTGAAGGCAAAGAAGTACTGGCACTCCATTAGTATCGCTCACAGGGCTCCTGAGAGCTACAGACCTTCAAGAACAGTGTAATCTGCATCGGCGACAGCGTGAAATTGTCGGTACCCAGGCCATTGTCGACCATTAGCTGGACGAGAGCATTGAAGGGTATCAGCAATGCCATGCAGAGCAGAATGGTCCAGTCGTCGGTGCCATAGCCGCTGCCATGGAGACGTTCAGGCCGCGCGATGAATCGAGCACCGACGAAGATGAGCGCCAGCGCGAAGAGCGACCAGGTGATGCGCACTGTTATGATGCCTCTATCGCGAACAATTGCGCCACAAAGATCTTTTGCGACCTTTTCGATCTCTGCAAGATGTCAGCAATGATCTTTGCGGAGGTCAACATGACATACCCAGCTGCTGTGGTACTGTGCAGTTCGACACCAGACAAGCAGTGATTGCTGTGGTGAGGTTGTTGTTTGAACACAGGCAGGAAGGGTCATCAACCGAGCAGCCGTAATCAGGAAAGACTTGGACGTAGCAGAGGCCCTATATTACATGTCAGTAAGATTGGGCTGCCGCGGGACAACTGCAAGCGTACACCACATTCTGGGAGGTCGAGGTCGGCGAGTTGAGATAGCGCTGTCTGGTTGATTTCCTGACGTGGTCCAAGTCGAGCATCACAGCAGAGCGCAATGCTCAACAGGGACAATACCACGTTCCAGAGGCCCTTCATGTTCAGAGAGCGATATTGAAAGGTGCTCTGCACATACAAAGTCGCAAGGAGAGGCTCTGCTCGACGATAGTACTACTTGACACTTTCCAGAGCGGAGTATGATGCGCTCATCATGCGTTGAGCCGGGCAACTCATGTTCGTGGTTGGAAGCGCCTTGGTGCTGCAGCTCCACGTTACAGACACTGGCATCCCTGGTATCGGAGAGCAACTAAATGATCAGTGTGCCGTGTTTTGTGGGCTACAGACTCGCTTTGAGTTTCCGGGAAGGCATCTCAAGACGACCACGGAGAAGACTGCGTGCGAAATAACAGGAGGCATGAGTCGGGTCACTCGTGAGATGTGGTCGAATGACGCCGATCGCGAGTCGCTATTGGCTATCCGAAGTGTGACCACGTCGACTTTGCTTGAGGCTTGCTGAGCATCCCGTGTCGGGGCGAGAGTAAGGCATTCTCAGCGACGGGATGCATACAGTCTTGCGAGTTGCGCTCAACACGAAAGAGCTTGATCGAGCCCTCGACGTGGTCGGTTTCAGGGCACAGCACGACACGAGTCGACGAATCCTGAGGCTCCACTTCTGCTATATGCTGTGGGTGTTATTGCTCGGTCTGTTCGTCCTGTCGTGCAGATGCGAACGAGTCCAGCAACAGTTGAGAGACAGGACTTGTGACGGCTGCGAAAGTGGAGGTGGTTGGTGAGACGGGATGAATGCGGCTCATCGCCAGCTGTGCAGGCATCTTCCCAGGCGAACGGACCTCGTTCGACGCCGATGACATTTAGTGTTCGCCATCACATCCGGTTCGACGAAAAGCAGAGAGCGGATCCCCAAGTATTCCTGCAGTTGTCCCTGATGATGATTGTGCAGATAAATGCAAGACGAGGGTTACTTGTAGTGGCTTTGTCGAGGCAAGAAGTTGGAAGCAAAGGGCGACGAACAACCACGGTAGCTCAATGAAGTTTAGCGCGGAATCCCGAAACTCTCGCGTTGAGCTTCTCGCGTCTGACTTGTCTGCGGCGTGCTGAGATCGCACGACTCCAATGAAGGCGAGCGCAGAGTTCATGTCCCTGGCAACTTATCTGTTGACAGCATTGGACTGTCTTCACCTCCAGTTTATCCGTACTACAAGCAATGGGATGGAAATCAACAACATTACACATATCTACGAAACAATCGTCACACATCTCATCGTCTTAAACGCCGTACCATTCCGGCCGGGGCTATTGCACTTTAACCTGACTCTGCCCTCCTCTCTGAATCTCATCACTCGATCCCGTGCTTCGACTAGGCGAAACCTCGCTGATCTTCTCACCTGCAACCTTTCCATCAATTGTCCTTCCACTCGCCTGATGCGCTTCCTCATCATCATACGGCTTCCAGAAATCCTTCTTTCCTTTTGCTGCGCGAGTAAGCCAAGGTGGGAAGACGCCACCGGGCAGCTTGTAGGTCCAGAATTCCTTCAATTCCTTGTCTCTGGGTGAGATGCGGTTTCCGGTGGCCTTCTCGAGCAGCCAGACGCCGACGTTGAGCACAATGTAGCTGATGATTCCAGCAATGAGGCCATATGCGATTGAGTAGGTGAAAGGCATGATGGCGATCGTGAGGAACGCTGGGACTGCGTCTCCGATGTAACGCCAGTTGATATCTGCAGCAGCCTTGGTCATGAGTGAGCCCACGATCACGAGCGTGCAGCCCGTAGCCCAAGGTGGGATGGAAGCGAAGATCGGAGCGAAGAAGATAGAGATGAAGAAGCAGAGCCCTGTGATCATAGCTGTAATTCCAGTGCCACCACCTTCGGAAATACCAGCGCCGGATTCGATGTATGCGGTCACAGGAGAGCTGCCGAAGAGGGAGCCGATAGTGACACCCCATGCATCGACCAGGTAGGCGATCGCAGAGCCTTCAAAATCTTGGGTCTTCTCATCAATGGCGCCACAGTACTGCGCCATTGAGTACATGGTGCCCGTGCAGTCGAGGATGTCCACGTAGAGGAAGGTGATGAGTGCGACTGCAAATTGTCCACCGTGCTCTCCGATGCTCCAATCTTGAACGGCGAGAACGTTCTTGATAGGTCGGAAGGTCACGACTTGCTTGAAGAAGTCGAAGCCGGAGTCTCCAGTTTCGGTGTACGGAAAGTAGGTCACTTCAGTTCCTCTTGGCCAGGAGATGATGGAGACGAGCAAGATACCAGCGATAATGGCGCCCTTGACACGGAACATCATCAAGAAGACAGTCACGAGACCACCGCAGAAGATTCCGATCCAGAGGGTTGGGTTCCTCATCTTTGCGCCACTAGGGCAAAGTCCGTCTTCGTCGAATGCTGATTGCACGCATCCCGCCAGTTCGAGAGGTGTCGATTTGGCTCCAACGACTAGACCAATTCCAGCGCTGTACGTCAATCCAATCAGCGTTAGGTAAAGACCGATCCCGACACCAGTTGCCATCTTGATCGAATGTGGAATCGCTCGGGCAAGCCATTGTCGCAAGCCGAGGACTGTGAGAGCGACGAAGATTAGACCTTCAATAAAGACCGCAGTCAGCGCCTGCGAGGCGTTAGCTTCTGTTCCTTCGAAGTTTCCAATCCTATGCAAGAGATGGCCTCGCACAAAGAACACTCACCGTCTCATAAGGAATAGTCCCAGTCCCGTGATAGCCGACCACGTTGAAGGTGAAGTACGCATTGAGGCCCATTCCAGGAGCAAGCGCGATCGGCATATTGGCGAACAGACCCATACAGAAACTCGTCAAAGCGGCGATTGCAGCAGTTCCGGTAACCAAGTCGCGTCGAATTTCTTGCACGCAAAGCATGTACGCAGGGTCTGTGTCGCAGACGCCATCGGCTGAGTTGGCATAGTCGCATCGGCAAGTTCCTCCGGATTGCGAGATGATGTTGGAGTTCACGCTGATGATGTATGCCATTGCAAAGAATGTCGCCAATCCTGCTCGAATTTCCGTGAAGAAGTATGTTCCTTTGCGCTCTTTGGGCTGGTCATGGATGTCAGCTTGTCATTGTCGATTGTCGGATGCGAACGACACACATGTCCGCTTCCTTCCAAACGGAAGTATCTTCCAACGGCAGTCCTCGCGACGGCCGCATTGGCGTTGTGTACCCAGCTGGAGTAGCCCATCTTGGAATTTTGTCGCCGGGTTTCGCGGACCCTAGCGGATGGGAAAGGACAACGGTATTCCTCTGCTGGGAGGGGAAATTGAAAGGTGAAAAGGCCGTCCTTTTCACACAGTCGAGATCAAGCCAGCAGAGGTAGCTGCACCTGCAGATCCTTTAGCGGGACATGTGCTGCTCGCGTGCCGAATTCTAGGCTCCTCGTGGAAAAGTCATATCTCCAGCGAATGGTGACCAACTTTTTCCCGGCTCAAGCTCTTCTTGGCGACTTGGCAGTTGGTGGTCTCTTTCGGGTCGAAGTACTCCATCAGGCATCTGTTCCTTGCTGACACACAATTCTGGATTTTTCCTCTTCCGATGTGTATCTGGTGGCGGCAACAGCGTTGTTGTGAGTGTCTTTCTGATGATATTGCGACGCCGGAAGAACTCGGTGCAGCCGGACAATTCTGCAGGGTGTTCGCAGGTTCGCTCGCCTGACAAGCTTGGCGTGGCCGAAGGATCGTTCCTCTTCCCCTCGCGCACATCGCCGGCGAGCTATCCATCCTCCTCCAAATGACCAAGCCACCGCTGCTCCCATTCATGCTGCTGCAGGTACTTGTGCCCATGTACTCCTAGCCTGGCGACGGCCGACCGGCTTTCCACCCTGCTATGCTCGCGTGGCATCCTTGCACTCCGCACAACTCGGTTCGACGAACTCTTCCTCATCTCAAGTTTCCTCTGGGGACATTGCTATGCTGAGACATGCTGTGGGCGTATCGTATGGAGAAGCAGTCGAGAAGCGTTCCACAGCGCGAGGCGCTGCGCGTCTGTCGTGGGACCACAGCACCTGATAACGCAGATCACTCTACGCGTTATCGGTACAATGGCATCGTCCTGGTTCCCGGGCTCCTGTGTCATCGCACGAGCTGCGCCTTCCGTTGTGAGCAGCTGGTGGTATCTCTTGCCCATCGGCCATCACCGACGGCCCCTCATCTCCTGCTCTTGAAACATCGCGACTTGCCGCCCAGCCTTTCACGCTCCAGCCCGATGCCTACAGCACGCTCCATGTTGTCCTTGGACCAGACAGATGCGATGATGGGGCTGCCACTTCCAAGCTCTTGAAGATGAGGTCTGCTGATGGTTGAGCCTAGTTGGCTGTCTCAAGACAACACAGCGCCGATCTTGAAGTCTAATGTGTTTCTTGGCTCTTCTTGGAAGACTTGACCACACATGAGCTCGCAGAAAAGCGTGCGAGCTGCTTTCACAACTTGCGATCAGCATCCATTCTCTGCGAATGTCGTGGTCCGATTTCCATCATATGTCCATTCCGAGGCCCTTGGATCCGTAACCCGAAGGGGCACCAAGACGTGCTCTGCTCCACCAACCGGCTCTGCCAAGCTCTCATCATGGTGGACTGCTCGTGTGTTGGATTTGAAGGTGAACTGTCACCGCAAAGCTCAAGGTGAAGTACGCAATCAGGTTGCAATATTCTTGGTCCAAGTTGCGGCAGATTGTTGCCTCTTCCGGGGACCAAGCTAGTCCGCACTGGGAAGGACGTGCTTCCGATCCAGCGATTCTCTGCTCCAGTGTAGGCAATTGTATTGACTTGGTGTAGAGTAAGCACTGTGTGGAGATGGTGAATCTCCTGCTCCGAATTGGTATTGTTGGGTCTGCCTAGCTCTTTTGTCTCCTCCCTCATGACGACGATCATGCTTGGATCAAGCTAATTCGTTGTCACAGCCTGAGGGATATCACCACTTGAGGCTGATCGATTCTTTCCGGTCTTTCTGGCCCAGCATATCGTCCCTTGTCGTGATAATGATTTCAAGCCCTGCTCTTCGACCTGGCTTCCATTGAGGCCCCAATCAAATTATCGCTCTGCTTTCCCTCTCACGCCCCTCCCGAAGACCATTGTTTGCGGAAGATCGAGGCGGTCGAGGCCGAAAGGGTCGAACTTGCGAAGTCGTGCTTGCATCTTTGGGAAGAAGCTCGGGGACGATGTTGATCAATTGCATTACCGCCAGCGGTTGTGGATACGTTCGTTCGTTCGAGGAAGTCGGAGAAGGGGCCTTTGTCCCACGGAAGTCGTTTGAAATATCTGTCTGTTTGCTTTGGTCAACTAGGTGGAAAGAGTGGCCGCATTGAACTTTCCTCCAGGTCGCTGCTCTGTTGTCGTCGGTGTCACTCATCTGATGCCACCGTTGGCTCTGCTTACTGTTCCAAGTCAAGGCCAAATGGTTCAGTGCAGGTCATTGGCACATCTGCTCAGAACACCAAAGCCGCTCGTATTAAGCTTCTCGTCGTCCCTGAAGTGGCTGTTGCGTTAAGACGGATGGTCGAAGCCGGAGGGACAATCTCCAAGTGGTGGCTAGAGATCAAATGCTTGGCTCGATAGCAATGCTGATCCTGATGGCGGTGCCGTCACGAGTTCCAAGCCGCTCCTGGGCAAGAGAACCTGCGAGTGTCAATATGCTGCAAGAGACCCCTCCGACCATGCTCACTGTCATGCGATGGACTGGCTTGAGGGACCAGCTCGGCGTGGGTTTGCATCAGTAGTCAACTTACCATGTCGGTTCTGTCAGGTCGTAAAACTGCTGGCGACCAGCGACCAGCGGGTCTTTGACTAATGCGAAGTTCGAATAGGGGAGGCTCAAGACGGAGCCGTTGCTGCGCGCGTGCTCTTTGTGCGGTCTTCGGACTGCCAATTGGTGGTCTTTCGTGTGGTCCATAGAACGAATGTCTTTCGGACTTGGTGTCCTTTGAGGCCTCAAGGACAATTCCTGAACCGGCTATGGAATTCGTCCGAAAGGACAGCAAGCAAACTGTCACAGTGGTCGCGGAGGTAGGGCTTCAAGGGAGAAGCAAGAGCTAGGTCGTGTAGTCGTAGTCATTCCCAGCTGGAAGGGAGGACAGCAGAGCAAGTAGTGAAGCTTGGAGCTAGATGTTCCTGGCTGTTTCGCCATAGCCTTGGCTGCCTTACAGCACGTTTAGCACAACAGGTAGCTCCTACATCCTCAAAGAACATCTGACCCACCATAGAAATTGCCAGAGCATACTATTCATCGTCCTGCGCCTACGCGCTTTGACATGGTACGGCCAAGACGAGCAATGTGCGGCGCCCTGTAGCATGTAGCTGGACTAATGATGGTCCAACTTCCTCACTGACCACACGAACATCATTTCTTTAGGTTTCAATGCGCAACCTGACAACGAACGCCAGCCCTCACTCCAAACGAGCAGCTCAACCTGCACGCGGTGCCTCCGAACACACCTACCGAACTCTCCATTGCCTTTCCAATGCCACTGCCGACGATCTGACAGATCCATACCAATGAATGAGCGCAGCAGCCGCTTTGAACAACCGCAACAACCACCAGAACAACTCCCTTCGCACTCCTTCGCAACGATCACGCTTCTCCACTGCCCCTGCGCACTACCAACAGCGGTCCCACGAGCCCACGAGCCCACACCCTGGTCCTCATCACGACCTTGACCCATTCCGAGCGACAACGCGACCCTAAAGATACACACCACCATTAACGACTGCGCCATTGACGACTCAAAGTTGAGCAGCGAACCCATCTCGCTCCCCTGAGCCTCGCTGACATCCTGACGGTGTTCCGTTGTTGCCCGCAAGGCTGCCGCCATCCACAAATCGCCCCCTTCAATCCGATTCGACCACTGCAGCAGTACAGACGTGGAAGAGCAGCGACAATTGATGTGAGGAAAGGTGGAGGAGCAAGACGAACGAACAGGAATGGGGATTACGGGATAAGGGCGACGGTGAACAAAATTGGACGGGAGATATCGAAAGAGCAGGGTACCAGGGAGGCATAGTTGATGGACATTGGGCAACGGGAAGAGCAGAGTGAACTACAAGCTGCGCTAGCGATGAGCTGAGCGGTTGGGAGGCTGGAAAGTCCGCGAGGATTGCACCGACAGAAGAGTGAGAATACGAGTACATGGATTGGTCACCGGGCATTGTGGTGTGAAACTTTCAGGAAGAGCACGAGGAGGTAGAGAAGAGCAGGGAGAACATCTTTGGACATAAAACGGTAGGTCTGTAGACGCCCGATGTCTATGGGGCGCGTTTGATGAATGGCATTTGAAACAGATATGGCGTGGCGGAAGACAAGGCATTTGCAGTGCTGGATGAGTCTAGAAACTGCGATCTACATCGATTCATGTCTGCATGTGCGTTACGGTCAACGCAGAGACTTCTAAATGCGCATTGAGTGAGTCTCGTCGTTGGTCCGCTTCCGATGGCGATCCCATCCTTGTCAAGCGTGTGACCGTTCTGTTCTGCTTGACCACTTTGTGATATAGGGCCTTGACCAACGGGTAGAAGGAGGTGCTCATCCGCTGACAGCATGTTAATGGCCGCAATAAAGCTTTCTGGCATTTGGTAGACAGCTTTTGCGGTATGTCTGCCTTTATGACACACTAGGAATGATATTATGGACACACACGCGGGCATTTCAAGCACTGGCGAAGGGGTTGGCGGGCCAGAAGACATTACGCTGAGCATCTTGCAGCACTGCGCTTGCTTACAATGCTTGCGCATCGCGCTCACACTGCTGTTGATTGTCTGGCATCCATCTGAAACCCAGTGAAGTTGTTCTGTAGATGCTTTCGCCGCCACATTCGAGCCTATGGTATTGTGCTGCAGCGCCAAAGACATGTGCCTAAGCATGTACTTCGCACTGAATGCGATCCCGTTCATCCGAAAGAATCTCGTCGCGTTTCTGAAGATTGTGTGGCCTTGATTCACTCGTCACTGGTCATCTTGGCTTCACACAGCGCGGCTTCCACCGCAGTAGCTACGGTCCAAAGGCTCGTTCTCGACCACCACACCGCCCACGCGAGTATTCTGTTTCCTGTGAGCACGACTAAAGTGAACACATGGGGCGCGTAGTATGCGATTTGCAATATTGTGGTGTATTGGCTCGTATGTGGCTTTGGGGTCACTTTGGCTTCACCCTGCAGGCAGTTCACGAGAATTGCCAGCTTCAATCGTAAAGAACTCCATAACCCGACATCGCACATCATTATGAGCTGCACCATCATGACCGTCTCGTTCAGCGCATCCTCCGCATACCAAATTCGCATGGTATTGCGATTGTGACCCACATGGTCCATCGCGCCTGCTCAATGTTGTGGTGCACGGCCCCCTGCGCTCTTGCTGTTTCCTTCAATTTGCGTCTCACGCGTCCGGTGGCGGACAGCACAAATAGTTTCGTCTCGCCCACCGCCAACTCTTCCTCGTCGACTTCACATCATCACAGCATATCGCTCGCATCGCTTTGCACCAGCAATCGCTCGTCTACATCCATCCACTTCTCGTCTACCACTGCATCGCGCTCCACCAGCAGCATACACCACCCTCATCACCAGCATTACATCACGTATCAGCACTTCAGCGCCATCACTGCCGGCACAGCATTGCTCTTCAGCTTTTTGACGGAACATACCCACTGCCGCTTCCATTACATCGCTTTCCGGCGACAGGACACCCTCATCACCAGCATTGCATTGCTCTTCAGCACTTCAGCAACATCACTGCCGGTACAGAGTCGCTCATCAGCACTCGAATAGACTATCACCACTGCTACTTGCACAACATCGCTCTCCAGCCACACCACACTCTCACCACCATCACTGCATTGCCCTTCGGCGCTTCCGCACACTATCGACATTGCTGAGACCGCTTCGCTCTCCGGCAACTCTACACACCACCGTCACGACTAGCATTGCATCGCTCTCCAGCAACCCTTCACACCATCAACCCTACCATCATGTCTACTGCCACCTCCACCCGCAACGACAAGTTCGAGCGTCTCGTCCAGATGCGTACTGAGGGCAAGTCCCCCGCTCATATGGCTGCCATCGCCCTCACCGACAACCGCGCGCAGAGAGCTACCATTCGCTTCATCGACGGTGGCCGCGTCGTTCACTACAACGGAGGCTCCTCTGAGCCAATCGACCAAGCCTTCGCCACCGACAAGTACTGCGACCTCAAGGCGAATGGCTTCTGCATGTTTCACGAGTCCAACCACTTGATGAAATTTCGCCGCTTCATCGACGACTGTTTCAAAGACATTGCCATTCACTCAGATTTCGCTCTGGCTCGCTCCGATGACTTCGCCTATGCACTCCAGCATCTCGCCGCCGTGGTGAAAGACAACGTCCCAGCCCGCAGCCAGCTTGCCATCACCACCCAGCTGTACCACAACCTCGAAAACATGATTCAGGTAGAATTCACCTACCGTGCCGCCCGACCTCTCGAAACCAAGTACAAAGGCAAATTCCTTCACCGCGAAGTCGATGGCATGGTCGAGCTGGAGATGCCCAGAGACCCGTGGCTCCACAGATTTGCTGACAAGTACCGCGAGGAGGACATCAACCACCCAGATGTCTTCAAGAACCCACTTCTCGCCTTGCCCAGCGACTCCGTGTGGAGATCGCCAGCATCGACCGCCTCTGCACCGGCTACTTTCTCCTCGGACACCAACCTGTCCGACATCACCGACTCACCACCGGCGTCCTTCCGTGCCAGCATTGCCAACGGCACCAACCGGTACACGCCTACCGAAGACATGTGCATGCCATCTGTCGGAGACCTTCTCGTCCCAATCGACACCCGCTTCGGTCCCGCATACAACCAAAAGCTGCTCGACTACCACCAGGCCTGCTTCGAGAACGCCCAGCTGCACCTGGCCGCCGACGCCGTGCTCTTCGTTGGAAAGTAAGTTGCTTTACCGATCCCTCGCTCGAACAATCGCTGACCCTGTCCTAGCCTCCCGGCTTCATTCACCGACCTCCAGCTCATCACTGGGCTGGGAGAGACCCTTCGCTCGGTGGGCTCGGGCACATGCTTCATCACCGTGGCCCGCACATACAGCGGAGATGCCGTGCGACCACACGCGTTGGTCCAATTCTACGTATGTCACCTCATTACCTCGACGATTCACTGTCACGTCAAGCTAACCAGTCGGCAGACACCCCTGTGCGTCGACCTCGCCATCAAGCGAGTCAAGGGCCTGACCCTGGGTGGTCGTCTTCTGCGTGCGGAGCGCAGCTACGCCAAGCACTCTCTCTGCGTGCTCCGCACCGACGGCGCCACCCCATACTCGCACGAGGTGGAGGGC